CCCCCCCCCCCCCCCCTTGTAGACCGGTAGACATATGTTCCATTGGACCCAAGAGAGAGTGAGATGCATAATGTCTTGATTTTGGTCACTGAAGGCCCAAATGGAGAAGAAACGGCCCGCAAGCAAAGATGCCACGCTAGCTTTGATCTTTCAACCAACCAATTCGGTTCTTTCTTCCTTTTTTTTTTGTTAAACCGACGAACCTTCCTCTCCCACACTCTTGTCCAGGGCAGTTGTCTCTTTCTACCCATAGTAAAGTTCTTTCCTTTACTCATTTACGCATATACTTTCCCCATCCTTCTCTCCATATGAATAGTTTTTCTTCCCCGATTAATCATCACCGCTATGATGGATCGTATCGTTTTGTTCCTAATCTTCGTTTTCTTCCTCTTTTCAGGTGATTACTGATGTGATTGGAAATGTTTCAGTTTCTGGTTTTTTCGCTCATCTATCGAGTAACTTTTGTCTTCAATAATTGCTTCTATTGGCAGAAGTTGAGCCGATTTCGTTCAAGATCATCAACCGGTGCCGGAGTACGATATGGCCCGGTCTGCTTTCCGGCGCCAACACGGCTCAGCTACCCACCACCGGCTTTGCTCTCCCGAGCGGGAAATCCCAGACGGTCACAATACCGGTGTCGTGGTCGGGCCGGGTCTGGGCCCGAACCATGTGTTCCCGGGACCGGAGTTCGGGCTCCTTCGTCTGCTTGACCGGAGACTGCGGTTCCGGGAAGGTGGAGTGCGGCGGATCCGGGGCCAAACCGCCGGCGACCTTGGCCGAGTTCACGCTCAACGGAGCCGGAGGACTGGATTTCTACGACGTGAGCTTGGTGGACGGTTACAATCTGCCGATGCTGATCCTGCCGAAGAAGACAGTGGTGGGAGGGTGGGGCGCGACGGGATGCCTCGTTGACCTGAACGGGGCGTGCCCGAGAGAGCTGAGGGTGGTGGCGCGTGGGAGCAACAACGGATCGAGGGGCGTGGCGGGAGTAGCGTGCCGGAGCGCGTGCGAGGCCTTCGGGGACCCTGAGTACTGCTGCAGCGAGGCGTACTCGACGCCGGACGTGTGTCGGCCGTCGGTATACTCTCTCTTCTTCAAGCACGCTTGCCCTCGCTCTTACAGCTACGCCTACGACGACAAGACAAGCACTTACACTTGCGCCTCCGGTGCCGACTACGTCATCACCTTCTGCCCTCCGCCGTATACAAGGTAAGAATACGGTATTGCCCCTCCAATTATCATACGGGATTGCATAATTGATCACAGTCAGGTCGTCATTATGTGGAATTTGATTGGAGTTGTGGAGCCACAAAGTAATTAGTAAAATTGTGCGGTCAGTGTTTACTTGAGGAATTCATATATATATATATATATATGTATATGTATGTAGTGTGTCAGTGAGTGAGAAGTTGCATTAGAAGTTATGAATTCAGTAGAAACCATACAAAAGTAGAAGTATTTGTAATGCGCAGCGAGAAGGTGTTAGGGACGAGGAGGGACGGGGCAGCGGTGCCGCTGGTGAACAAGAGCATGATACACTTACGCGGAGGAAGCCTCACTCGTCTCCCCAGCCCATGCCTTCCTGTTGTCCTCTGTCTTCTCACTCTTCTTCTTCCTCTGCCTGCCAGATAACACTTTCATAGAAGATGATCCCACTGCATTTGGGGCTATGTATACTTGTCTGTAATTTGTTACCCATTCATGGATTGAAATCACAGGGAACTCCAATGACTCCCATCCCATCATTTGGTCAACGAGGCACTGTTTGTTTGGTGCTTTCCAAACCCAGTAGGATCTTCATTTGTATCATACAGTTTGGCTATGTGCCGTAGACAGTAGTCGATATGTGCACAAAAATTTGGGTCGGTCCGAGTTCGAATCCGAAACCCTTGGAACAAGTGCGGGTTCGGATCGGCGCGATTGACACGCCTAAACATACGCAGTACACAAAGTGAAGAATCTTTTTTAAAAAAAAAAGTTTAAAAAAAAAGTATGTCGGGTTAGGTTTGTTAGTTAAACAAATATGCCTCGTGAGGTTAAAAACCTCGAGACAATTACGAGTCAAAGCATCGGGCTCCGCCCAATGGCAATGGTGTGTCCTCAAAAGCCGAGAGCCAAACGAGAGGACTCCTCTGTTTCTCGCCTTACGCTCATCTACGATGTACCTCTCCACGTGTCTTAATCTCCACCGTTATTTCTTCTGACACGCATGTGTATGGAGAAGTACGTTCATTACAAGCGGTTGATATTCGGGGACCTGTATCACTTGCGAGGTCAAATCCGATTTTTTTTTTAAAATATTATCGTGTGGGTCCTCCTTCTGCAACGTGGGCCCCGTATTTTTCTGGGCCAGTTCATCGGCCCAATTATGAGACGTCCGACCGTGCGGGACATCTGTAAAGCAAACAACATAAATATAAACATGTTTATTAAACCCACTAACTCAGGAAACATAATATCCTCTTTAATTTTAAATATAAAAAGTGAACAAAATCTGTCCGCTAATAAATTCCATTTTAAATATACGCCATTATCATTAGTAGCCGTATATCTTGGAAAAAAAACTTATTATATCTCTTTCCCCTCCAAAACAATTATTCTGTTTAAAGATAAAGCATTTAAAAAAACTCAAATATTAACAATTTATCATAAAAAAAAAGTGAAACCGTGTAGATTTCCATAGTTTTGAACTCCATAGAAGAGTATTTTTCCACTTGAGCTTTGATAAATGTACCTTATGTTATCACATCACATAAATATTATAAATTATGGTAATTTAACAACAATAATAGTTTTGAGCTTAATATAGACTTTAATGTGATATGAGCCATTGGGCCCCCCACTTGTTGGTAGTATTTTTTGCTTCTGCAGATGCAGTTTTGTCGGTTTCAGTCATTGAGCCCAGAAGAAAACCCAATGGCAATTCATTTTATTTAAAAAACGGAAAAGCAAAAATACATCCCAAGCTGATAACTTCACAGTTCACGCTGCCACTCCCATTCTCTCTCTCTCTCATTTTCAGAAGAACAAAGCTCCGGACTTTTGTAGGAACCCTGAAGGAGTAGAGAAGAAGAACAAGTATCACAATGAGCATTTCTCCTCGTGGCTTTGTCACTCTCTCACTGTGCTTTGTCCTTGTGCTCTTAGCTTCTAAAGGTATGATTGCTGCTGGGTATCATGGAAAACACAAAAAAAAATCCTTCTTATGTCTCACTTGCTTAACTCGCATTCTTGCCTGGAATCTGAAAGTACAGGTTTTTTCTTCTTTGGTCATCCAGTTTTGGAAGAAAGTCACATACCTTGCGCTTTCTCTCATGGGTTTTTCCAAAAAATTTCGAAAATCTTCTACCTTTTCAGATATTCGTTCATGGGTTCGCTTGAATGTTGGTTTTATTTGTCGCTGATCTCTATTGCTTTCAGGTTCTCACGGTTCGACGTTCACGTTCATCAATCGCTGTGGATTGACCGTGTGGCCTGGCATTTTGGCAAATGCGGGCTCACCTGCCCTCGCTACCACCGGATTTGAGCTTCCTAAGGACACCTCACGCACCCTCCAAGCCTCGACCGGTTGGTCCGGCCGGTTCTGGGCCCGAACCGGCTGTAACTTCGACGGATCCGGATCCGGCGCTTGCACGACCGGAGACTGTGGCTCTGGCATGGTCGAATGCAACGGCCTCGGCGCTGTGCCGCCCGTTACCCTCGCGGAGTTCACACTCGGCACTGGAGGCAATGACTTTTACGACGTCAGCCTCGTCGACGGCTATAATCTCCCGATGGTCGTCGAAGTCTCCGGCGGTTCCGGTCAGTGCGCTGCTACCGGCTGCACCTCCGACCTAAATCGCCAGTGCCCGGCGGAGCTGCGTGTAGGTGACGGAGACGCGTGCAAGAGCGCGTGCGAGGCCTTCAGAAGCCCGGAGTACTGTTGCAGCGGCGCGTACGCAACGCCTGCCACGTGTCGGCCGTCTGTCTATTCGGAGATGTTCAAAGCGGCGTGTCCTCGTTCGTACAGCTACGCCTACGACGATGCAACCAGCACTTTCACTTGCTCCGGCGGAGATTATACGGTGACGTTTTGCCCTTCTTCTCCAAGGTAAAGGTTTGGGTTTTTCTTTTAGCATACTGACTTTGGTTCTTTTCCATGGAATCTGGGAGGATATCGACTGGACTTTCTTTCGGCGTCTTTTTTTGTTGGAAAAATCCGAACTTTATGTCTATGGGTTTCTTCGTTATGATTAGTTTTGTTACTGTTCTTTCTGAAAATTAGAGATGGGTATTGATGTTTTGTTCTTGTAAAAGGCTGATGTTTGTCTCCCTTCTTTTCACGTTACATTTGTGAAGTGCCAAGAGATCCTCTTTGATAAGGGATGGTTAGAAAAACTGTCATTTTGATGAGTTATGCTATGAAGAATAACCGAATGGTATTTCTTATGGGTGTGGTCAACAGTCAGAAGTCGACAAGTTACTCGACGCCGGGGGCAGGTTCATCAGGATCCGAAGTGGGATACACGGGCCAGGGCCAGGGATACGGATACGGGTATCAGGGAACCGGGTCGGAGTCGGGTGAGACAATGTTGCAGGACGGTTCATGGATGGCTGGTCTTGCGATGGGAGAATCTGCAAGAGCCGCTGGCCCTCCTCCGGTGGTGGCCACCCTGCTTTCCGCATTTAGCCTCTCTCCTCTCGTGCTTGGGTTTATTTGCTTGTAGCCTTTGTTTTTTTTTTCTTTCCTTTAGTTTTGCTGAAAATGTAATGTTTGGCCTTATCTTGATTTTGTGAATATCTGGGGTAGGTTGGCCAGGCCTTTTGTGTTTTAGGACTAGGGAGGGCGTGTTGGCTTTGATTGTTAGGAACATTTGAAGTTGGTGTTTCTTGCTTGGACGTCTTTTTGGTTGGGTTTGATGCGTTTTGTAATGGGTAGCAGCCTCAGACGAGGTTTGGGTGCAAAACCTTGCTCTTGTTTTTTTCGCGAAACTGCGCTTTCACTGATGTTATTGTGTGTATGTGTAAAGCTGAAGAGGTGGGTGAGGTAAATGACTGCTACCCGTTTACCTGCAAGGCTTGTTGGGTTCCATAAACCAAACTGGTCGGCGTGCGAATTGAATATGGCTATAACAGCAAGTGGGGTCAAACGCCCAGCAGCTGGTTTCATAGAGTTTGGTTGGTCGTGTCAAAATGTGAATGATGATGGATGCCACATTTTGCCTTTTTTTTTATAAAAAAAATTGTTTGAATTGATGCCTATATTGTTAGAAAAAAGCTGTCTTTCACCCCCTTTTTTGACCCATTCATTCATATGATTAAATAAGCCAGTTTTATCAAAAACTTTTTTAGGGGAGGATTTCTTTTTAAGTTATTTATTGATTCTGATGCTACAAACAAAAACTGGGCTGTTAATTCTCCGGGGCCAAAAAATATTACATAGAAATTAAGAAACGTGGAATTAGAGTGGACGCACGCTCGCTGACCATTCTTTATGATGATGACGATGATGCTGTGTTTGGATCTAATTGATTAGATTCGGAGGCGGACATGTTTGGTCTCAGGAGAAGGGGAGAGGGAGAAGGTGGAATTTACGGATCTACCCCCGTAGGTGACGGTGACCCTGTACTCCCCCAGGAAGCCGAAGAAGCTCAAGGAGGCGTGGTCGTCGCTCGCGCCCTTCACCTCACTCGTCCTCCATTCTCTGAGCATACGGTCAACCACCTCCCCCGCCGGAAGGTTCTGCAAGTTGCCGTCGGTTAGGCACATTTGGTAGCATCCGTTGGGGTGAAGTGCCGTCCACAGCATTATCCCATTTACCGACGGGTGCGAGAATCCTTCCCTCAGCACCTGCTCCAGGTACAACGCCTGGGTGTGCTGGTCGAGGCGGCTGCTGATGTCGAGCTCGGTGAGCCAGATGGGGAGGCCGAGGGTGGCCAATTTGTCCAAAGTGCCTCTCATCAACGCCACATTAGGCACCGTGAAATGCGCCTCGAGACCGATCCCGTCCATCCACACCCCGTCCCGTTGGAGCTCCCTCACCCTCCCTATGTACTCGTCCACCGTCGACTTCTCGTCCCCACACGTCTCCACCACGTTGAACTCGTTCAGGAACAGCGTGGCGAGGCCGTCCTCCTCCCTCGCCGCCTCGAAAAACCCCGACGACGCCTTCTCCCCTAGCCTCTTCTCGTAGAAGTCGAAGTGCAGCATCTCGTTGCTCACGTCCCAGTGCACGAACTCCCCTCTGTACCGTCTCATCAGGCTCCGGATCCTCCCATCTACTGCCCGCCGGAGAGGGTCGCCGGTGAGGTTGCGGACCCACCCGGGAGTGTACAGAGGGTCTTCCCAGAAGATGTTGTGTCCGCGAGCGATGAGTTTGTTGGTCCTCACGAATCGCATCATCTCGTCGGCGATGGTGTAGTTGATCTTCCCCTCTTCTGGCTCCGTCGCGTACCATTTCAGCTCGTTCTCGAACACCGTCGCGTCGAACCTCTCCACGAACCATTTCTGCCACACGACGCGACGATGTTGATTGTTGTGGTGCAATAATCCAATGGGCCTGGAAGCATGAGCTAATGGCTTACTTGGTAAGGTATGTTCCCGAGGATGGTTTTGGCGATGGCAGATCCGATGAGGAAGTCCTTGGAGATCTGCTCCACCGTCACTTGGGCTCCTCGCAGGATGTCTCCTTTTTCATCCGCCACGTGAACCGTCACAGCTCTTTTTCTCACCTGCATATACATATACATATATGGTTGTGATGTTTGACTTGAAAGTGAGGATGTGTGGATCAAAGTGGTGGAGAATTAACAGTGTTGATGATGTATTGCTGGTTGGTCTGCCACTGCTCCTGCGTGAATGGCTGCAGAGAGGCCCTGGCCACTCCTATTTGGGTGCTGCTACTGTTCTCCTTTGATGTCTGAAATTTCAACAAAAACCATTTACGAGCTTCCCCCATGTGTGAGGACAGCAATCGTGTTTAACCTGAAAGAAGAGGATGGAGAGATTGGAAGGGGAATGGAGGACGAAGCCGCCCTTGAGGAAGGACCAGCAGCCACGCCTGGCCGAGACAGAACCGATGCAGTCGAAGGTCTCGTCGTCTGTCCTCAGCATGGCTCTTACATGCTGAGCTGCTCCTGCTGATGAACCCCCTCCCTCCATCTTCACCCATACTGTTCCATAATAACAGCACCCTCCTTAGTTTGTTGTTTGCATCCTCGAGAGCAAGAAAAGCAACAACTTAACTGGAGAAGCAGTAGATGATGTGCTGAGTGAGATTCTGCAAGAGGAAAGCAGGAGTGTAATGGGCGCCCTCCACGAGAGCCACACCATATGCTTCGTCTTTCAGGATCCCTCCGTTGTAGAGCGCCCTCTCCGGCTCTAATTTACACTGCCAATTCACACGCAGTTATAATCCACCACTCAATCATCTCTCAATGAAGATGTGTATTCTGTGGCTTGGCCTACCTCCGTATAGGCCGTAGAATCATAAAAAGGCCCCTCTGCCCATCAAGAAAACAAAAAAAAAACATCCCATGAAATCAGCAGCAATGTATACAACAGAGGGCTCTTGATGTCCACAGACATGCTTTTGTGGAGAGAGGTCGGTGGGTAATGCTAAGTTAAACGCAGGAAAGTCTACAAAACCGGATGAAATACATGCAAAATATGTGTATCTAGTTGCCAGGCGTATGAATAACGTATGGCCGTACCGTATGAAGCAGCCAGGGGGAAGAGAAGGAAGAGGACCCAGAAGAAGCAAGAAACAAGACCAAACGCCCAAGAATGTTTCATGGCAATCAATCTGTTGGGTTGAACTAATTGAACAGGAAACACGCAGTGAGTGATTGGGAATTCAGAGAGATTTAAAAAGGAAAAAAAAAAGATCACAAGGGAACAGTGTCAGAAACAGGACGGCATCTCCGAAGACTTCAGAGCTCACGTGAAGTGGTTGTGTACTGTTCAAGTCTTTCATGTGATGTTGTATTTTATAGCTACTTTGGCTTGGGCTGCCTTTGCGTTAACCCAACTTTTGATTCTCTGTTTTCTTGTTTATAAGAATATATTAATATCTCCAAAACATAATGGATAGATCTTTGGACATGCTTTGAGGATGAACATGGACATCACAACTAAACAGTGTTCAACACACACGTCCACACATGTATGCAACCATCAGCGTGCCCTGTGGGATGTGGAAATGCTTCCCTTTTCGTTCAAAAGGCTCTCATTTCTGCTACGCACGCTCCCCCCCATGGACCAATTTTACCCCATGGCGTGACGAAGACGACTCACTTTATTACAAGATACACACATCACACAAACTATTACAACTCAAACAGGAAAACCCGTCCAATGAAGAGAATATCGAACCAAACATTTTTCAAAAGGGGGGGGGGGGATTTTTCTTAATCGGTGGGGCGGAATTTGCAAGAAATCTTGAGCTCCTCCGCCGGTTTTCCACCGGCAAATCCGCTGTCTACCCAGGCCGAGTAGCCTCCCCCCATGTTAACCACATGTATATACCCCTGCATTCCACACACCTACCATGATATCATCTTCTTCTTTGTTTGGAATGGTTTAAATTCAGATTCCATACCTCATTGAGAAGATCAACACAGGCACGACTCGCTCTTCCTCCAGAGTTGCAACCCTTCATCATATTATATGATCAAATGCCCACAATTTAGTACTATATATATATATATATATAGAGAGAGAGAGAGAGAGAGAGAGAGAGAGAGTTCCATCCAGTAAACATTTGAACTCACAAGATTATTAAAAAAAAGAGAGGCACAAATCGGTTTTTACTGACCACAACTAAATGATCATCCTTCTTGCAGACCGCAGCCACTTGTGCAAGGAAATCAGGGTTTTTCACTCGACCTGTTAAAAAGCCAAAACAATGGAATCACATGGTATGGTTAAGAAATTCCATAGTTATGCAAGAAATTACCTTCTTCGGATAGGAACAAGTAAGGAACGTTCAAAGCGTCCTCGACATGGCTCTTGTCGAATTCTTCTTTGGTTCTGTATAATCAATCATTAGAGAAACCATCATCGTTTAGATAAAAATAGGGATTGTTGAGGTCACAGAAGAAGTTACCTGACATCGAGATAACGATGGCCAACGCTGAGCAGACCTTTGGCTGTATAAACATCAACAGTCTCAACATCTTCGACCCTATGCATGTAGCAATCTTGAACTATGAATTTCAGGTGTAAACTATATAGCTGCCATACTGAACATTATCAATCACAATATTCTCACTTCTTTCTGTTTGTTTCTCCCATGATCCTCCCAGAGAGATGATCTTCCTTCTTCTTCTTCTTCTTCTTCTGCTGCTGCTGCTGGTGGTGTGATATATGAAGCAAGCTGAAGAGGAAGAAAACAAAAGTTTTTCAATTTAATAACCCATCATCCTTTTTTTTTTGTTGCAAGAGAATAACACATAAGTTGACTTTTTAATCATTTGAGAATTTTAATTGCTATCTGGAATGCCCCTCTGTGTTAGATTCCTTCTAAACCTGTTCCAACGTCAACGTGCTTGAGTGGTGGATATCACGACAAAGTTATTAAAGCTCTGACTTTTTTTTTGGACAAAATACGATACAATCTCCAGTGGAAAGAAGGAAGCGATTGAGGTTGAGAGAATAAAGTTGGAACTGCTTAGATCCAGAAAACCATCACAATGTCAGATAATTTCGATTGCTCACCAAAAGTCAACCCTTTTCAATGAAATAAGTTTTCGATCATGTGCAGAGAGAGAGAGAGAGAGAGAGAGAGAGAGAGAGAGAGAGCCAACCTGGTCGATGTTCCTTTCCTTGCTGAGGCTATATCCTATATGTCGCTCCCCAAAAGCAGAACCTCACTCTTCAAAGATCCAACATTGGGAAGGGGATACCTCCGTGCGATTTGTCTAAATCACCCTTGGCCCTATAAAGGCCCTAAACTCAACAGATGTGGGCCAGCCCACTTTCACTAAATACAAGGGAGATGATGCTCCTTACGAATGTTTGTGGTTCAATTGAAATAAACGCAAAAGATGAAGCCCCATAAAGGAAACTAAAATATAGAAGGCTAGGCCCATATAAATACACACTACGCTTCGGGACAGAAGTTTTCCCCACGACGCTTCTCTTGTTGCAGCAAAGATGGTTCTCGAGGTATCTCTGATTTCCTGATTTTGAGTATTTCCATCTCTTCTTTCGTTTCTGCCTTTTATGATCTGTGATTCTCTCGTTTATTTTCGTTTCGTTCGATGGTTATCCGTATCGTTCTGCTCAGGCAACTATGATATGCATCGATAACTCCGAGTGGATGCGTAATGGCGACTATTCGCCGTCTAGATTGCAGGCTCAGACGGAGGCTGTTAATCTTCTCTGTGGAGCTAAAACCCAGGTGAATTTTATTCAGCATTTTCTCTGTTTATGATTAGGGTTTCCGTTCCGATTTGCGCTAGATTTCATATCGGATTGTGATTTGGGGTTTTGATGCTTGAAATTTCAGTCGAACCCGGAGAATACGGTCGGGATTTTGACAATGGCGGGGAAAGGAGTTAGGGTCTTGGCTACTCCAACCTCGGATCTTGGCAAAATTTTGGCTTGTATGCATGGTATGCGCCTAAGATCCGATGGATTTTTTTTTTTTATGTATTTCGGTTCAAGACTTTGTGTGGTTTACCTTGCTTTTTTTGGTTCTGCGTTGAATTTGCTCAACTCGTGTATTCTACATGGTTTTTGGGTCTTCTATTTCTGGGGTGTTTTCTATGCTACCTGAATTTGGTGTTTTCTAACATTCTTGATACTGGCTTTGCTACATGCACCTGTTTCCAGGTCTTGATTTGGGAGGAGAAATCAACTTGACGGCGGCTGTCCAGATTGCTCAGCTGGCTCTTAAGCATCGACAAAACAAGAATCAACGTCAGAGGATCATTGTTTTTGCTGGAAGGTACTGAGTTTGTGTAAAGATTGTTTTTTTTCTTGTGTAATTACTGCTTGCTGATTTTCATTTTCTCAATCTCAACTTTGGTTGTAGTCCCATCAAGTATGACAAGAAGACACTAGAGATGATAGGGAAGAAGCTGAAAAAGAACAGTGTGGCTCTTGACATTGTTGATTTTGGGGAAGATGATGATGATGAAAAGCTACAGAAACTGGAGGCTCTCGTTGCAGCTGTTAATAACAATGACTGCAGCCACATTGTTCACATCCCGCCTGGTGCGAATGCTCTTTCCGATGTCCTTCTCAGGTACCCCATCATGTTTTATGGTTTCTAACCTTAATGATGGGAATCATGTATTTTTTTTAAACATTTAAGAAATTGAGTTCGAGAGGCATACATATTGTCATTGCTATAGAATTTGCAATATGTATCATGCGCATCGGCATTTAGCAAATAATGATTTTATCTGTTTATGGTATCTACAAATGTTTGTATGTTAAATCTTTCTGGAACTGCATGACTTTTGAATCTCATCCAGCACACCCGTTTTCACTGGAGAAGAGGGTGGAGGTACTTACAATGCTGCAGCGGCGGCAGCTGCAGCTGGTGGGGATTTCGACTTCGGTGTGGATCCAAATCTTGATCCGGAGCTGGCTCTCGCTCTGAGAGTGTCCATGGAGGAGGAGAGAGCTAGGCAAGAAGCTGCAGCTAAGAAGGCGGCTGAGGAAACAGTTCAGAAGGACAAAGGAGGGGACTCATCTTCTGTACCACATGATACAGTGGCTAGGAAAACTGAGACAAATGCTGAGCCAATGGTGGGCTGCTAATCATTATGCACGTTGTTATGTTCCCATCTTTAACCTAATTTTAATTTACTGTAATTGGCGGAGACATTGGTTTTGTGCCTATTTTTAACTATTAAATTTGTCGCAGGATGAGGACAAAGCGCTGCTGGATCAGGCAATTGCTATGTCTGTAGGCGATGTTAACATGACAGAAGCGACTGATGAAGATCAGGATTTGGCTTTAGGTAAGTGCAGCTGGGTGTTGCTGGTTCTAAATTGCCATAGGCAATCGCTTAGGAACTCTAAATTAAGCCTTAATTTAGGGTGGTATGATGCATAGTGACAGATTTTACCCTGTTTAAATGGGCAACAAGAAAAAAAATTGTCTTCAAGTCCTAGTTGTGTCTTTATGGGTTCTTAAAGCTGCTTTAACATAAGAAGAAGATGAAGGAAAAAACTTCTGGCGGCCAGAAGCCCACAGCTCACAATCACACGGTTTTTAGATTTTTAGGTTTACCTAGGATCAAGGTCAGTGGCATGATTCAAAACTCAAAAAGCCAAAATTTCTCAGAATTTTGAACCTCTCAGTGAAACTGTCTTATTGGTTGTTAGTCCAGCGTAACATCTGGGCTTATAATTTGTTTTTCTCCATGTAGCTCTGCAAATGTCAATGCAAGGGGATGCCCAAGGCTCTGGTGGACCCACAGAAGCCAGCAATCTCCTTGGTGATCAGGCTTTCATATCTTCTGTCCTCTCATCCGTAAGTCATTCAGGACAATTCAAAGTTATTTAACGAGAGCAAGAGACCATTTGTTCTAATTCTAATTGGAGGTGCAAATTTCTACAGCTTCCTGGAGTTGACCCAAATGATCCAGCTGTGAGAGAGCTGCTGGCCTCTTTGCCAGATGAATCGAAGGTCTGTTGTCATGAAACCTGTGCTATGGCTTTGTTCCCTCATCTGTTCAGCCATTATCCATATGATATGCCGTGATCTATTTTCCTTCTCGTACCAGAAAAGCCTGATTAATCATATTTGTTTGCTGTGTGCTATTTCCAGTCTCAAGAGAAGGAAGGCAGTAAGAAACCTGGTGATGACAAGTAAAAAGGTTGTGGTTTTCTGCTATCATTCTCATTCAGGGCCATATTCTCTTGGGAAAAAAAAAATCTAGCAGCTTATTGCCTCGAAGCAGAAATCCTGTATCAGCAAGAATATGATTGAACGAATGGGAAATTGAAGCTTGTGTTTTGTGTTCCATGCGATTTATGAGAGGAGGACGGAAAATGGGTGCGTTTAATTTTCTGTATGACAAGGCAAATTAATAGGCGACTTTGTTGCTCTGTTTTATGACTAAGGCAAGGGCAGGTGCCTCATGTCCTTATGTTCACTTGTTGCCATTGTTATTTTGGCCTCTCCTTATTCTCCTCACGTCCCTCAATTCCACTTCGTGTTTTTCGTTGTCTGGATACCCTAATAGGAAAAGGGGAGTGGCCATTCGGCATTTGGTATTGGGTTCACTCGACTTTGGGGTGCTACTGTCGTAACAAAATTTGATGCCGAGATTTAAGTATCCAATTTGTAGCAGTGAGCCTTGTAGATTTTACAAAAGACAGGTTAACCGAAGAAACAGCCATTTACAGTCATCAGCAAAGGCTTTTTCTCTCTATTTCCAGTGTTGTGGCTTAAGAAGCAGTTCGCCACTCGAGCTCGAGTTGGATCCTTCCGTTCTTGGAGTCGATGAGGTGGAACTTGTCGTTGATGCGTTTGTTGTGAACCACATCCCCCAATTGAATATGCACATACCCGAGTGATTCCTGCGCCTAGTCACACACCCACCCGCTCGCTTACACAGGAGTTCCATTCCAAAGCCACAATCACAATCACAATGGTATCACCTTTGGATGCAGAAGCCCTATCCTTGTTGATGTGCTGACAACTTCAACGTGCATTTTGTCACGGACCGGAGGCTCTTCCAGCATGAACGTGAACTCCTCTTCCCACCTCGGGTCTCTGTTCTTCTTCACTTGCTGTGTTGTATCAACCACACAACTTATAATATTCTTATCTCACACTAGTTCCTCAGTGACGAAATTTCTCTTCTTTCACGGTTTCTCATTATGCTTTTCCAAAGACCCAAATATTCATCTTTTAGGTGATTTGGGGAAGACAAATGTAACCAACAACTTTATCTCGTCTGACCAAAAAAATCAAGAAACGATGAGAACATATGTATGAACACATGCTTACCTCAGTTCTCTTCTCTTCCCCCTCTGAAAAAGATCCGAACATACGGTTTGGTATGGTGCTTTCCTTCAACGTCCTGAGCTTCATGCACGATCACAACAAAGAGGCCCCCAGAAGCCGGAGTGCCTTCTGGAGCTTTTTGCACAGTCTGTCTCTCTTCGAAACCTTTGGGCATTTCATCCTCAGAGAAGGGCTTATAAAAGAGTTCAACCTCCAACTGCCCACGAAACTTCTCTGTCTGAGCCTGTGCTTCTTGGCTGGGTGCCAGAGTCTTACACAGATCCAACTTGAAGGTTTTAGGCTCCTCAGGTGTCAAATCTTTCAGCGGTAGCACATTCATTCCCATCTTTCCATGTTTGCCAACCTTACAAGAGAAAGACGGGCAAGGTTTTCAAGGCAGAGAAAAACGAGTTACGAACATGGGAGATTCTAGCCAGTAGTAGCAGCTTACCTGTTCCCAGTCATAGACATTGAACTCTAGAACCTGAGTCTGAAGATCCCTAATAGAGAATTTGAACTCCTCATTCCATTCAGGATTCAAGTTTTTGTGTTTCACAGTGGTCTTCTTGGACAGAACCTTCCTCAACCCTATTGCCCTGATGACCTTCACGTGGAGAATTCCAATGGGCCTTTCTGTAGGCTCTGCATGTTAAAAATTAAGTTTGCTAGGTTACGAAGAAGGTTTTGAACACAAAACATTCATAGGTAATGCAAGAAAAAGGAGGAATGGCCTACTTTGCTGGGTCAAGAATTGGAACTACGAGGGTCTTCGGCCAGAGATACATGTATGCCACTTGATCTTTAATGAGCTCCTGAAACAGTCAACACGACGACAATGAAACTGCCACGAATGAAATTCTGAGCGTGCAATTCTTGTGACGATTCATTTTTCCACCCACTTCAATAAATCAATTTTTCTGGATGAAAAAATTCAGATAACTGAATCATGAGGGAAAAAAACCATATAAACCTAGACAAATCTGTAAAAGACAGGGATTGACATAAGATCAGCCCCATAAAGTTCAGCCCAAAATCAACATGTGGCTGCAGAGAAGCGAACAACAGTCAATGAGCAAGTCTACCAATATAGAAACAAAAGCAGAATAATTCATGATAAATAACTATCTTATAAAGAGAATGTGTTATGCCGCAGACCTTTTCCATGAGAGACACAAATATATTGGCAAAACAAGGAAAACTTGGGACCAAAGGCTTGCGAGTGATACGAGGCTCGACAAAAACTTGGAGATCCACCACCTAAAAAAGTTTCCTCGAAAGCTCGTGTCTTAAAGTGGCAACCAGTACATGATTTTTTCACAAATTTTCCTTGTTTTTTTTTAAATGTTGTGGCTGGATATACTATATTACCTGAATTGTTGCCTTCAACCCATATGCCCTGACAGCAATTGCTACATTAGGATTCGCACCCCATTTGATGCAAGGTTCCATAATCAACTCCTTCTCTTCCGTGATGTAAACTTTCATACCTGAAACGAGATACAAAGACACTTGTGAATCTCTCAGTCAATTCAATATTATCTTATGCATTAGTATGTGCTCCCAGTTTTCCGTCAAGAACAAGAAACAACTTTTCCTTTGGCTTCTAGTTGCAATGTGAAGGAAAGTATGTTCAGGGAAAATATATTGCTAAGTGCTTGAAATGTTGAAGGTAAAGAACTTAATGTAAATGTTTCAAATTCAACAGAATCAATCTTGTATTTGGGTATCTACTATCTGCTCCTCGATTATTGGCTTTGCTATGTTTTTGGCAGTCTCACAAATGGCCTGCTCACCAAAAATTCAGAACTCAGGAAAGGAAGAGAAGAAGTGAACTTTCAACAGAATACAAGAGTAAGTTGATAAGCAGAGAACCTTGTCAAGAAAAGGCCACATGTACTCTATGAACCTGTTTAACCAATCAATCTGGTTAAAACAAAAGAGGGACAAAACGTCAACCCTGAGGCAGTAGAGAGTATAGAGAAGAATGGAAATTGCATCACATACACGATCGAAATCTGGATTTTTCACCCATAGTGTATCTCCGGAAGCATCCGTTGCATAGCCTTAGGGTCTTGTTCAGCTAATGGGCGAATTTCAGGATCCTAAAGCGAGTGAAACATAACCAATCAAAACCCCTCACAAATTTAGGCTATGGACATTCAGGTAAACGCAGAGGCACATGCATAGAATACACAGAACGGATGAACGACAAATACTCTAATGGAAAAAACCAACCTTCACGTCGCTGGGTTGCAACTTGCAAGTAGATGAAAAGAAAATACCCAACCACAAGCCCCATCGAAATTCCAACTCCAAATCCGCAAAACCCTAGTATAGTACTGAAGAAGCCCATCTCGATTTGGTTTCTGAACAATTGGAACTTTCACGGGATCACAGACAAAACCCAGATCAGGAAATTCTCCTTCCTACGGCCAAGCCGCCTACATTTGTTAAACCCTTTCCTACAGCAATCCGTAAGAGATAGGGCCCAAAGGTCGCAGCTTTCGCAACCGATCTACAAGTGGAAGTTCAACTTCACAAGGATTGTGAGATTTACGGGCATTGACGCTGACGAAGTCGCGCAGGTGTCCATGAAATGGATTCGGGAAGCGCGGAAGACACGCAAAGCATTGATGTTCCCTTCCGGGACTTTCGCCTCAGATTTGCTCGTTTCATTATTGGCTCTGTATTTTCTTCATAATTTGTATTCGACCACGCAACTTTGCAAATTCATTTGTAGGTCATACATGACATGCCGATGGCATGATGGATCATATTCCTTAGTTTCCTTCCCAATAAATGAATCCAGTAATTCTCAATTAACAATAATTTTCTCATAAATTTTGTTTTTTTTTCTCTCTATGTTATGAATAAATGCTCTGTTTGGGAAAATGAAGAAGAGTTTTTATGGTAGATACAGAAACAATTTAACTGCAAATAAAAAAGGAACAAACACGTAGCGCATCCAAACCATTACTTGCAAAAGCCGGTCGAAGAAAAGAAGGAAGAAAACGATATCGTATTCGCATCTATATATTGAGGAAAGCCCCTTTCTCACCTCCTTATTCCCAAACGATTAGGGTTTTCTAATCGCGTTTCTGCAATCGTCTCGATTTTGGTCTGCTATTCTGTATTCCGGAATTCCATTGCTTTCGAATCATAAGGTGTTGGAACAACTAGGTTCAGGTTTGGCTTCGGATCAGGTTCCTTTTGGCGGTGTCCTCGGTCGGTGGAGCTGTGCGATTCCGGAGGAAATTAGGGTTTCTGGACTTTGGCAAGGTTTTCTTCCTCCGTGCTTGTGAATTTTGGTGAGAATTGGTTAACTTCTCTTTGTGGGTGGAAGAATCCGTGTCGCGTGTGAGATGCGAGTGAGTGTGCGATCAGAATCTGTCTGATCGAGCAAATCCCACACTTGGGGTTCCTTCCTTTGTATGGAAACTCGGAGCCGCAAGCGGGCGGAGGCCTCCACAACTGCCCCCTCTTCTTCCTCGTCGCCCTCCGGTCCCACCACCCGCAGCAAACGCGCTCGTCTCTCCTCCCCCGCCCTGCCTTCCTGTGCTACCGCCTTAACCACCACAAGCACCCGCTCTCGCTCCTCCCGCTCCTCAGCTACTGCTTCTGCTTCGATGGACACATCCACGGAGTCCTCTGGTTATCGCCGAGGCGGCAGAGGTAACAGGGGTAATGACAATAGCAGCTCCGATAAGGGAAAGGAGAAGGAGCATGAAATCAGGATTAGAGATAGAGATAGAGATAGAGATAGAGGCCGAGAGCAACTTAATTTTGATACCATGGGTGCTGGTGGTAGGAGTGGTGGCGAGGACGATGACAATGACAGTGAGGATGGCAATGTGGGATTTATGCATCCCAACATGAGTTCTGCAAGTAGTGCACTTCAAGGGTTGTTGAGGAAGCTTGGAGCTGGACTGGATGACTTGCTTCCATCATCGGGTATCGGATCAGCCTCCTCTTCCCACTTGAATGGGAGGTTGAAGAAAATACTCTCTGGTCTGCGCGCGGATGGAGAAGAAGGGAAGCAGGTCGAGGCTCTAACCCAGCTTTGTGATATGCTATCCATAGGGACTGAAGACTCTCTGAGCACGTTCTCAGTGGATTCGTTTGTGCCAGTTCTTGTCGGTCTGCTTAACCATGAGAGCAATCCCGATATAATGCTTCTTGCAGCGAGGGCTCTTACCCATCTATGCGACGTTTTGCCTTCATCTTGTGCTGCGGTTGTGCACTACGGTGCGGTGTCGTGCTTCGTTGCTAGGTTGCTTACCATAGAATACATGGACTTGGCTGAACAGGTTGGTTTTCTTTTCATAAATTCAGTTCTCTTTGAACTTAGGATACTAGATAGAAATCTGGGAATTATGAAATCCAGTTAATCGAGCTTGCCTAAAATTAAAAATGAGAATTGCATCGCATTGCAGAATTTGCTTATCAGTTAATATTATATCTCTTTTATTGATTATACTCTAGAAAAGATACTTGCATTAGATTCAGGCGAGGCTTTCTTTCAAACTTTGCATTTGCCTGAGGTTGCTACTCATTTCTGGTGGTTTTTTATGCTTGACTTTTTACTTGTATTTTGGACGGGTCTACAGTCATTGCAGGCTCTCAAAAAGATATCTCAGGAGCACCCTACTGCGTGTTTGCGAGCTGGTGCTCTCATGGCAGTGCTCTCTTATCTCGATTTCTTCTCCACTGGAGTTCAGGTGAATAATTTTGTTGTTGTTTTGTTTTACTTTATGAACATGCACAGGCAATACTTGTACCTGGGAAAATGTATCTAATTTTTTTGTTGACTTTGTTGTAGCGTGTGGCACTGTCTACTGCTGCAAGCATGTGTGAGAAGCTTCCTTCTGATGCGGCTGATTATGTCATGGAAGCTGTACCATTGTTGACAAACCTGCTTCAGTATCATGATGCAAAAGTAAATGATGTTCTTGCCCTTCCAAATGAGATTATGGAGTTGGCGCTTTAGCCTAGTTTCTTCTGACTTCCATTCAAATGGTGGCAGGTGTTGGAATATGCTTCTATTTGCCTTACGCGGATTGCTGAAGCGTTTGCATCATGTCCCGATAAATTAGATGAACTATGTGATCATGGGCTGGTGACTCAAGCTGCCTCTCTTATATCAATTAGCAGCTCAGGAGGTGGGCAAGCATCTCTTAGCGTGTCAACTTACACAGTAAGTGTTAATCTATTATTTTCTCTTCTGTGTTCAGTTGTAGGATAGAATTTTCACTTTCAACACGTGCAGGGGTTAATCCGATTGCTTTCCACTTGTGCAAGTGGATCTCCTCTTGGAGCCAAAACATTGCTTCTTCTTGGTATTAGTGGCATTCTCAAGGATATTCTGGCTGGTTCTGGTGTCTCTGCAAATGTATCTGTCTCTCCAGCATTGAGCAGACCCGCTGACCAGGTACGGGTGTTGCTTGATATCACATTCTGCTCCATTTTATTTCTGTTCCATGTCTGGCTTATAGATTATTGGATGTGGAGCTGACACGGACGCTTCATCCATTTAGAAGAAACTAAAACGAAATTTATGTTCCTTCAATTTGCTTTGTTCAGTTCTTCTGGTTTTCGGCCTATCATTCACAAGTGCTATAAATATATCTGGAGATTTGCGCTCGTTGTGTCATTTCAGTCTTTTAGAGTCTAACTTCTGGTTATGTTGGTTAGATTTTTGAGATAGTTAACCTGGCGAATGAGCTCCTCCCTCCATTACCACAAGGTGTTATCTCCCTTCCAGCTAGCTCGAATATTTTTATGAAAGGTTCCGCAGTCAAAAGATCTCCTCAAAGAAATTCTGGAAAACAAGAAGATACAGAAGAAAATGTTCCAGATGCTTCACCTAGAGAGAAATTACTGGATGATCGCCCAGAAATTTTGCAGCAATTTGGGATGGATCTTCTTCCAGTTCTAGTACAGGTAATTTTGCTGCATTAGCAATGTCATGGTGCACAAATCACGTGAACTGTTGTGTACTTACAAATCTTTGTTATTTTTAACAGATTTATGGTTCTAGTGTCAATGGCTCTATTCGCCATAAATGCCTCTCTGTTATTGGAAAGTTGATGTACTTCAGTACTCCTGAAATGATTCAATCTCTACTTGGTGTTACAAATATATCAGGGTATGTTGGTTGATGAACTCAGTCATGTTTGCTTCTGAGTCTCTGACTTATAAATGCGTCTGCTTACTGGATTGTTTTTTTCTATTTCCCTTGGTGTAGCTTCTTGGCTGGTGTCTTGGCGTGGAAAGATCCACAAGTCTTGGTTCCTGCCCTCCAAATTGCCAAGATTTTGATGGAAAAGCTTCCCGGAATTTTCTCTAAAATGTTTGTTAGGGAAGGGGTTGTTCATGCTGTCGATCAGCTTGTTTTGGTTGGTAAACCAAACTCTCAGGCTTCTCCTGTCGACAAGGATAATGATTGTATTCCTGGTTCTGCGCGATCAAGGCGCTACCGGCGGCGGAGTTGCAATGCTAATTCTGATGGAAATTCATCTACTGATCCCAAGAATTCTGCTTCAATGAATGTAGGTGCATCCCACAATTCGATGGATACTCCTACAGCCAGCTTCATGCTGAGGGAAACTGTTAGCTCATGTGCTAGAGCTTTCAAAGATAAATACTTCCCATCAGATGGAGGGGATCTTGAAATTGGAGTTACAGATGATCTTATACATTTAAAGAATCTTTGCATGAAGCTAAATACTGGTATAGATGATCAAAAGGTGAAAGCAAAGGGAAAATCTAGGGCTTCTGTGCCATGTCTGGGTGATTTTTCTGCCAGCAAGGAAGAGAACTTGATTGCTGTCGTTTCTGAGATACTCGGGGATCTAAGCAAAGGGAATGGTGTGTCTACGTTTGAGTTTATCGGTAGTGGTGTTGTTGCAGCATTGCTCAACTATTTTTCGTGTGGATATTTTTCGAAGGAGAAGATCTCTGAAGCTAATTTGCCTAAACTTCGCCACGTAGGGCTCCAAAGGTTCAAGGCTTTCCTTGAAGTTGCACTTCCTTCTAATGTTGATGAGGGAAAGATTCCCCCAATGACTGTTATGGTTCAGAAGCTTCAGAATGCGTTATCTTCGATGGAGCGTTTTCCAGTAGTGCTTAGCCATCCCTCAAGATCTCTAGGTGGAAGTGCCCGCCTCTCGTCTGGCTTGAGTGCTTTGGCTCACCCTTTAAAATTGCGACTATGTCGTGCCCAAGGAGAGAAATCTCTACGTGATTACTCATCAAATATTGTACTTATAGATCCACTGGCCAGCATAGCAGCGGTTGAAGAATTTCTTTGGCCCCGAGTTCAGCGAGGTGAATCTGGTCTAAAGCCAGTTGTGGCTGCTGGAAATTCTGAGTCAGGGACAATGCCTGGTGGTACCGGTGTTTCATCACCATCATCTTCCACTCCAGCTTCAACCGCTCGTCGCCATTCTTCTAGATCTAGATCAGCAATAAACATAGGTGATACACCAAAGAAGGAACCATTGCATGAGAAAGGCATCAGCTCTTCTAAAGGAAAGGGCAAAGCTGTTTTGAAGTCTGCTCAGGAAGATCTACGAGGGCCACAAACGAGGAGTGGCTCTCGAAGGAGAGCTGCACTTGACAAAGATGCACAAATGAAACCAGTTAGTGCGGACTCGAGTTCTGAGGTATGATTCATTGTATTAGTGGTGAGATCATCTTTCATGAAGTTTGCTCAGCTTCCTTGTTTGGCAGTGCACATTTCTACTTACATGTACTTATAGATGTCAATTATCTAGTTCATAGTTGATTGGGAATTTGGGAGTGCTGCCACTAGTTCGACTCATTTATATTGATGAGGATAGAGATCTTGGGTTAGTCTTTGTTGGCGTTGGAAATAAAATTTGGCTATTAATGGTGGTGGTAGGGCTGCTTTGCCTCTCTATATCTAATTTTGTTTTTCGGGTGTTTTAGTTTTGGTAGTTATCACTGTTATTTTCTATCTTTTTTTTTTTTGGTTCTTTGTAAAGTGCTTTGTCGTTTGTGTTGAGTGTTATCGGCAGGACCTCCTTCTCATTTGTTGTTTACTTGTATACTTCTTGGTAGGATGAGGAATTGGATATGTCTCCTGTGGATATTGATGATGCATTGGTGATTGAAGAGGATGATATCTCTGATGATGAAGATGATGATCAAGAAGATGTAAGTTGTCCTTTGTCTTATGCCCGCCATTTATATTATGTTGCGCTACCATTATTCTGCTGACATAAATTAATTTGCTAGCTGTATGAATTACAATCACTTGCATTATATTTCGGTTGCAGATGTAACTACCTTGTTGATAAGAATCTGTATTGGTTTTTTGTGTTAAATGTATACTTTGTTTTCTACTATATTCCCTTGAGCATATTTTCTTCATTTTCAGGTTCTTGATGATAGTCTCCCCTTGTGCACGCCAGATAAAGTGCATGATGTGAAATTGGGGGACTCGATTGATGATGATGGTAATGGCCATACAACCAGTGATGGTCGAACAAATCCAACTCCGGGTGCCACCAGTGGAGCAGCTGCAGCAAGAGGTTCTGATTTGACTGATACCGGCGTTAGGAATTCGTATGGTACCAGAGGTGCCCTCTCCTTTGCTGCAGCTGCAATGGCTGGGCTTGGATCTACCAATGGTAGATCTATCAGGGGGAGTGGAGATCGGCATGGGCACGCTCTATACCGTAGTTCTGATGAACCCTCTAAGCTGATATTTAGTTCTGGAGGAAAGCAACTTGGTAGGCATTTGACGATTTATCAGGCTGTTCAGCGACAACTTATGCTGAATGAAGATGATGATGAGAGGTTTGGTGGCAGTGATTTCATCTCAAGTGATGGAAGCAGATACAACGATTTTTACACCATTATGTACCAGAGGGCGGACAACCATGTGGATCGGATGTCAGTTGGCGGAGCAAGTTCTACAACACCATCAAAATCGACTAAATCTGCCATTGGTTTGAGCTCAGAATCTCAGACATATAGGGCATCTCTTCTGGATAGTATCTTGCAAGGGGAACTTCCATGTGATCTTGAGAAGTCAAATCCTACGTATAATATATTGGCATTGTTGCGTGTGTTGGAGGGTTTGAATCAGCTTGCTCCTCGTTTAAGAGCTCAAATAGTGTCTGATGATTTTGCAGAGGGTAAAATTACAAGCCTAGATGAGTTGCATACAACTGGTACTAGGGTTCCATCTGAAGAATTCATAAATAGTAAACTTACCCCAAAATTAGCCAGGCAAATTCAAGATGCGCTTGCTTTGTGCAGTGGGAGTCTTCCCTCTTGGTGCTACCAGCTGACCAGAGCATGTCCGTTCTTGTTTCCTTTTGAGACCCGAAGACAATATTTCTACTCCACTGCTTTCGGATTGTCTCGAGCATTGTATCGCCTGCAACAACAACAAGGTGCTGATGGTAGTGGGTCTACAAATGAAAGAGAGATGAGGATAGGGAGATTACAGCGTCAAAAAGTCCGTGTATCCCGAAATAGGATTTTGGATTCTGCTGCAAAAGTTATGGAGATGTATTCTAGTCAAAAGGCTGTGCTTGAAGTAGAGTATTTTGGTGAAGTTGGCACTGGTTTGGGTCCTACCCTTGAGTTCTACACACTTCTGAGCCATGATTTGCAAAAAGTTTCGCTTGGGATGTGGAGATCAAATTTTGGAGACATGACTCCCATGCAAACGGTTGGAGAAGAAAGTAAGAAGGGGAAATCATCTGCCGCTACTGACGGAGATGTTGTTCAAGCACCTCTTGGATTGTTTCCTCGACCTTGGACTCCGAATGCGGATGCTTACGAAGGCAGTCAGTTACATAAAGTAATAGAGTATTTCCGGCTTCTAGGGCGTGTCATGGCGAAAGCCCTTCAAGATGGTCGTCTATTGGACCTGCCACTGTCTACAGCATTTTATAAGCTTGTTCTTGACCATGTGAGTTTTTATTAGTGCGCTTGGTCCCATGGCTTTTGGCTTTTATTATGTTTTGAATCTTTGATAAGATAATATTTAATTTCTTCACTTATGCAGGAGCTTGATTTGCATGATATCGCTTCATTTGATACTGAACTTGGCAAGACTTTGCAAGAACTGTATGTTCTTGTTGGCCGGAAAAAGTATCTGGAATCAGTAGGTCGTGACAACTGCCATGCGGTTTCTGGTTTACATTTCCGTGGATCACGGATAGAAGACCTCTGCTTGGACTTCACCCTGCCTGGTTATCCCAATTACATCTTGAAACCAGGAGATGAAACTGTATACAGTTTTTGCTTACTTTTTACATCTTTTCTGCTATTAGTTTGAGCCTTGTTAAAGATTCCTGATGTATATATTTTGTTGCCAGGTTGATATTAATAGCCTTGAGGAGTATATATCCCTGGTTGTTGATGCGACAGTTAAGACAGGAATTGCTCGACAGATAGAAGCTTTCAGATCTGGGTTCAATCAGGTTAGCTTTTCCGGATGCTCGACTGTCTCTCTCTCTTTTTTTCTTTTTTTCTTTTTTTGCCAATTTCCTTTGGCGCCTCTTACTTCTTCAATGAATATAGAAAAGTACTTTTCAGTACGATTTGAAGTTAGCACCCCTTAGTGTTCTATTCTAGTTTACTCTTCCTGCTATTTTTGTTTGGGAGCATGTTTGCATTGAATTGCTCAAAATTAGCAGGTGTTTGACATCACATCTCTACGGATATTCACACCGTTTGAATTGGACTACTTGCTCTGTGGTCGAAGAGAGCTCTGGGAGGTGAAGTTGAACTTTCCAGTATTCTATAGTTATAAGACTTGAGGCCATTAAACTTGTGATACTCCTAAACACTTTTTCTCCTGCAGGTCGAGACACTAGCTGAACATATCAAATTTGATCATGGTTATACTGCCAAGAGTCCTGCAATAATTAATGTATGACTGATTCTTTTGAACTATTTCCCATCTCTTCTTGGTCACCATTATTATCCTCACTGATTCTGATTCACCTTCTAGTTACTGGAGATAATGGGGGAATTTACAGCAGAGCAGCAGAGGGCTTTCTGCCAATTTGTTACTGGAGCTCCCAGGCTTCCTCCTGGTGGCTTGGCGGTTCTGAATCCTAAGCTAACAATTGTTAGAAAGGTAAAGATTATATTTTGGTTTTGTTCTAACATGCCAGGTGTTGTTTTCGGGGACTGAATCCTTGCTGGTATATTCATATTAAAAAAAAATTGTTCAGTATCTCTACGGATATGCTATACTGCATTCACAAACTTTTTTTTTTTTTTTTTTTGGCGGGGGAGGGGGGGGAGATCACACCCATTTGGTTCTAAATAAACTTTGTTTGGTGTATGCTCTGCAGCACTCGTCAACAGCTACTGCAGCATCCAATGGAATGGGGGCTTCAGAGACAGCCGACGATGACCTGCCCAGCGTCATGACGTGCGCAAACTACCTTAAGCTCCCTCCATACTCTACAAAGGTTTGCTTTTTATGTCTTGTTCTGTCTGTTTGTATCGTCTTTGTTGTCCGAGTCTAGTCGTCCTCCTGACTAACAGGTTGTGCCGTGAAACAGGAAATCATGTACAAGAAACTGCTGTATGCTATCAAGGAAGGGCAAGGATCTTTCGACTTGTCTTAAATAATCTTAACCAAAGTCAGGCTCTATTCTGTATGTACATTACAAGGAAAGACACCCAGGGAGAGAGATGCTTCTCATTGATTTTGATTTTTTACTGCAAAAGGAGGCGGAGTATATGCCCCAGAAGCAGGTATGCCTTTTCTCTGCCTGCTGTTTTCTTTCTTCCTACCCTTCCTTTGGATTTGTCTTAACGCCATTGATTTTGGTGTTTGCAGGCTCCGCAGGAAGGCTTCTTCTTCTTCTTCTTCTTCTTCATCTTCTTCATCTTCTTCTTCTTCTTCTTCTTCTTCTTTGATGTACATAAGAGGGATAATTAGGGCTCTCTCTCTCTCTCTCTCTAAATGACGGTGAATTTCATTTCATTTGGTCTTTAAAACTTGAAAACGTCAACTTTGCTCAGCGCTCCTTCGTAGTCAATTTTTTTTTGTCACTTGCATAATGTACGGTCTGTTTCAGGAAATAAATAGCCCTCGCTGTAATCGCTGGTGTACCGATCTGATTCAGTCAAAGTAAGAGCTAAACAGTGTTACCATTTTTGCAGCACAAGTGATATACCGAAACTATGATTGCCTTCCGTTGCGAGAAGACCGAAACTTGAAACTTGAAACTGCGGGGCATTCAATGGCGAGTTCCTTCTCATTCATTCTTTCCAAAATTTGGGTCATCTAGAGTTTAAGTTTCCTTTTTCTATTTTTTCTTTTGGGTTTTAAAGCCAGGAATATTACAAAAATGCCTTGGCACCAGCGACTTCAAGCACTATCCTCGAAATGTTAGGGTTTTAAAAAAAATGAAAAAACACCGAAAAGATATTAATACCCATGGAAAAACACCGAAAAGACATTAATATCCATAATGAAAAAGACATGTGTCAAAATCAAATTGTAAAAGGAAAAAAAAAAAGAAATTACTAAATCAAACATTTTGAAAAGACACGTGTAAGTTTTGAAATAATAAAAAAAAAGAACGAAGAAATCAAATATTGACCAGTTTCTTTTCGTTTTTTTATCCTTGTGATTTCTCTCTAACAGACGGTGCGATTTCTTTTTAGCGATTTTTATTGCGGTTTCTTCTTCAGAATGATTTCGTCTTTATCATTTTCAGCTTTTATTTATGATGATATTTATTTATGGTTTCAATTTAAAATCACCGAAAAAGTGAGATATTTTCTTAAATTTCATGTGTGCTTTTTGGGTAAACTATTAGAGAGATAAATCCAAGTCAAATGGGTGATATTAGTGGATTTGTATAATCAGAAAAATTAGGGTTTCACTTAGAAAGTGAAATATTTTTTTTACAAAATCGATTCATATGAGTCGAGTCACGGTCACACTGTCAACATGATCGTACTAATGGAGTGGCCACACTAGTCACACTGATCGCACTTGAAAGGTGTGACAAGTTTGACTAGTCTGATAAAACTGGTCATACAGGTTTAACCGTCATGTGGTCATACTAGTGAAGTGGTCACACAACCATACAAATAAAATTGGTTACGAAGTCATGTCGTCATACTAGTCACACTGATCACACTTGAAGGGTGTGACGAGTTTGACTAGTTTGATAAAACTGATCACACCTCTCAAATGATCATATCAATGAAGTGGTCACACAATCACACTAGTTAAACTGGTCACACTTAGAGGATGTGACCAGTTTGACGAGTTTGACTAGTTTGATAAAACTGGTCAAGCTAGTAACATTAGTCCACTACAAAAAATATCATCGATTTCTAACGGATTTTCCAACGGATATATATATATATTGATACGTATAAATATACGTATATTTTGCATATATATATATATATATATATATGTATTTAGACGTATAAATATTATATATATACACACATATTGATAAATATATATATATATATATCGATATGTATAGTATGTATATATGTATACAAATAAGTATTTATATATATATATATATGTATAGTATGCATTAAGGGTGTGCTCTGGTTTTTGTACGATATTAGTACCGTATATTATTCGGTTCAGTTGGGTTCTAGTTTCGGTGCGTTTCGATTTCGTTTTTTGTTAAAAAAATTAGAGTTTCTTAAGAAAGTTTCAGTTTTTCGAAAATTTTATAAAGTTCGGTTTGGTTCAATTCCAAAAAATTTGATTCTATAAAAAAAGCGTTAACAGACAAAGAATGAATATAATTCAACAAAAAAGTCCAGTTTCGTCATATTTCCATCTTCATTGTAAAGACATATTCAGTCTCTAAAAATGGTGTTAACAGACGAAAAATCGTCTCACCATTAGACTCGTCGCACCGTCAAACCGTCACACTTGTTGCACCGTCAAACTAGTCAAACTATTGCATCTTATCGAATTTCGCAAATTTAACAATTGCAAATTGTAAATATATTGATTATCACCCAATGAATAAGTATCTTGGACTGAAACTAATCTAGATCTCTAAATTTAACATCTTTTGTTTTCTTGACAATGCATGTTCTCTCATACGAAACCCTAAAGTTCTAGTAGAGTTTGTGTAACACATTGTCTTATGGTAGAAGATATTATTTTTTCACATGAGTTACGATTAATAAAAACACGTTAAATATGTTATAATAATCCATATACACCATATTGAATCTTCAAAACATTATTTAGATCGATATTTTTTTTCACAACCCGTCTCACCATCAGACTCGTCGCACCGTCAAACCGTCATACTCATTGCACCATCAAACTAGTCAAACCCACGCACCTTATCGAATTTTGCAATTTTACAATTGCAAATTATAAACATGTTGATTATCATCCCAATGAATAAGTATCTTGGAATGAAACTAATACTAGATCTCGAAATTTAACATTTTTTGTTTCTGCAATAGGTGATCTTCTTCGAATCTGTGCGAGTTCCACAGGTGGTTTCACGCTGCGAAATTCTCCACAAACCTCCTAAGGTTGATCCTCTTCGATTTCCCGAGCTGATTGTGCCTCGGTTCCCCCCGATTTCCTCTCTTTTCCTCTGTTTTTCGAAGGACCAGTCTCTAGGTTACAGAATGGTGATCTTCACCTGTTGGAGCCGGTTAAAAGCCCGATTCTGGGGAGAGTTCAGACCCGAAAATGGGGCAGAGGGCCAGTCCATTCACGCACTATGCGATAAGTGGCAGCCGACGGCGCGTGGGTCACATTTGTCGCAAAAAAATCGTGGTCAAAAGTGGAAGAAAATCAGCGTTTTCCGGCGTTTTCCTCCCCATACCCTAGACCGTTCGGTCTGGTCTAGACCGTTCGGTCTGGCTTGTGAACATGCAGACCGATCAGTCTGCACTCTGGTCTGATCGGTCTTGGCCAATTTTTCGTCTTTTCTTCGCTTTTTCCCTGGACCGATCGGTCTACCTCTGGACCGATCGGTCTAGACCATTTTTCATTCGTTTTTCGACGTTTTCGACGTGTTTTAGTCCCACTTGTCATTTGATTCGATGTTTATGCCAATCACCTTACATGGATTTATCTTATTCGGAAATCGGGATATTACAAGCTGACCAAAACAGATTTTTGGTCTGCTGACGCCCGCTTCGGTCCGACTGAGTGTTCTGGTCCGGCTGACCACATTTGTCAGCTCTGGACCATACTCCGTTTCTTCCTCTCTGTCCGTTCCTTTGGTCCTATGTGGTACTTTCTCTCGGACTAACTTCTGGTCCGGCGGACTGACTTCTGGTCAGCCCCGTCAGTCCGCCGGACCAGCCTTCCATTTCTTCTTTCGATCCGCCTCTTCTTCCCTTAGGTCCGTCTGATGGGCTGAGTAGGTTGGTCCGACCCTGACCAGATTTTGGTCCGGCAGACCAACTTCACTTTTCCAATCTTCCCTTTTTTCGGTCCGTTCCTCTTCGTCTTGGTCCGACGATCCAACCCTGGTCCGGTTGACCAGTTTCTGGTCAGGTTCGGACTGAAGATAAATTTCAACATTCTTCTTCGCTTATTTTTCGATCCTTTTTGACGTTTTCCGGCTTCGTACTCTTTTCCATTTTATTTTTCACTTCCATTCATGAATTATTATACGTATTTATTTAATTATTTATTCTCGAAAATAATTAAATATTTACTTCGGGATCCAGGGTATTACACCGTCAAACCATCAGACTCGTCGCACCGTTAAACTAGTCAAACCGTCGTACCTTATCGAATTTCGCAAATTCAATAATTGCAAATTGTAAACATATTGATTATCACCCCAATGAACAAGTATCTTGGATTAAAACTAATCCTAGATCTCTAAATTTAACATCTTTTATTTTTTTTGATAATGCATGTTCTCTCATATGAAACCCTAAAATTCCAATAGAGTTTGTGTAACATATTATCTTAGGGTAGAAGATATTGTTTTTTCACATGAATTACCATTAACAAAAACGCGTTAAATATGTTATATATAATAACTCAGATATACCACATTGAATCTTCAGAACATTATTTAAATCGATATTTTGTTTCCACAAACCGTCTCACCGTCAGACTCGTCGCAACGTCAAACTAATCAAACCGTCGCACTTTATTGAATTTCATGATTTTATCACGTATAAATTGGAAACATATTAATAATCACCCCATAAAACAAATATCTTAAGTTGAAAATAATCCTCTCTCTAAATACGATACTTTTTTTAAAATGTACGTTTTTTCAACGAAACCCTAAAAATTTAATACAAATGTAAATATGGAATGTATTAATACAATATCTTTATTATGTCATTACAGGAATACAAAATTTCACTCATACGTTTGTGACATTGTTTTCACTACCCCTTTATGACAAGACTTGTAATAAATAATTATAATTCTTTTATCATCATGTATTCATTATATTTGTATAAAACAAACACATAATGTGAGTAATATGATCAGTTTGAAGAGTGAGACTAGATTGATGAGTATGACCATTTTGATGAGTTTTGCGAGTTTGTCCAGTTTTGAGAGTTTGCTCAGTTTGATCTATTTGATTCAATCTGTATCATATAGTTCAAATATAAATTCAAAAACAACAAAAGTTATAAATACCCAAAATGAATAACAAATTTTAAAATGATAAATTATCTATCAACGAGATTTTTGTTTATTGGATGAGATTTTTTGAGATTTCGTTTTTTTTTTATAATAAATTAATCAAGAAATAAGGATAGAGAAGAGAAGCTTGAGGAGAGAGGGATGGGAGAGCGAAGAGAGACGGAGAGAGAGGGCAATATTACAAGAATACCTTTAAATGTGCACATAGACTTCAACCCATACCCTTCAAAATTAGTGTTTTAAAAAAAAACTCTCAAATGATAAAAAGACATTGTTACCCTTAATGAAAAGGACACGTGTCAAGATGAGAACAAATAAAACAAATACCAGAGAAGTTATGAAATTATATGATTCAAAAAGACACGTGTTAGGGTTTCGAATTAAAAAAAAACAGAAAAGTCAAATATTGAACAGTTTCCTTCTTCTCTCTCTTCATTTCCGCAATTTCTCTTACGATTTCTCTGTAACTCTAACGGATAGAGTGTGATTTCTCTTTTCTTCGGCGATTTTTCTTGCGATTTCTTTTTGCAATATCTTATCACTTCAGATGGCTTCGTCTCCTTCATCGTCTTCAACTCCTATTTACGAATATATCCAGGTTTGTATTTGAACTCACCGAGAAAGAGAGATATTTTTATTAGAATTTCATGTCTGTGTGTTTGAATAAACAATATAGGAAAACAAAATCGAGTAAAATAGGTCATATTTATGTAGTTATATGGATCAGAAAAATAAAGATTTCGGTAAAAAAGTGAGAAACATTGTTTTGCACAATGTCGAGTAATATGGAACTCGAATCACGATTATAATGTTCAATTGAGTCATATTAGGTCATATTAGTAAAGTTTTATAAATCAGAAAAATTAGAGTTTCAGTTAGAAAGTGAAAAATCATGTTTTTCACAAAGTCGAGTCATATTGAAGTTGTCACGGTGTGACAAAATGGTCGTGCTAGTCACAATGGTCATACTTGAAAGATATAACGAGTTAGACTAGTCTGACCAAACTGGTAAAACTGGTCACAACCAGTCACACTCGTCAAACTGTATACGATGCTAATTTAGTCATATTAGTCACACTCGTCGCACCTGAATGGTATGACGAGTTTGACAAGTTTGACGAGTCTGTTAAATCTGATCACTACTGAAACAAAAGTGATAACAAATGTTAACTTTCTTTTTGTAGGTTTCTTTTGTATATGATTTTAACGACATTCATCATGTTTCCAAGATTACAACAAAGTGTTATCCGTTTCAAACTATTCGTTCTCTTAAAAAGGCTTTAACAAACGAAGAATGTACATATTTCAACAAAGAGTCACAATTTCGACACATTTTCCATCTTCAATGTGAAGATACATTAAAGATGGTTCAGTTGTCTGTCCTTATACATCGCGCACTAAAGCTTGAAGGAAATGTGAAAGAGTTGTGGTTTATTCTGGACAGTGTACCCGTTAGATACTCGATCACCGAACATCCTATTATCTCTGGTCTAAACTGCGAAAAGTATCCAAAAGATTAGGCTGAACGCAGAAGAAGAAGACGAAGAAGAAGGTTCCGAGGAGGAGAAGGAGAAGGAGGAGGAGTTATATGGATAAAAAAATTAGGATTTCAGTTAGAAAGTGGAAATCAATATTTTTCACAGAAGATGAATCATATGGAAGCTAAATAGTCATACTAGTCACTCTAGTCGCACTTGAATGGTGTGACCAGTTTGACTAGTCTGATAAATCTAGTTAAATGGGTCACATTCGTCAAGTGCACATACCAGTGAAATGGTTGTACGATTACACTAATCAAAGTGGTCATGAAGTTAAGTGGTTATACTAGTTACACACTCGTCGTACTTGAATAAACAGTCCATATAACAATTTTTATTAGTAACTAATATTCGCAACTCTCTGAATTTAGCACTTTATTTTGTTTTACAATACATGTTCTCCCAAAAGAAACCCCAAAATTCTAGTACACTTTTTATAACACATTAGGTTAGGGTAGATTATATTATTTTCTAATATGATTTACGAATAATAAAAACACATACCAATTACGATTAATAAAAACATGTTAAATATGTTATAATAACTCATATACACCACATTGAATATTCAAAACATTATTTAGATCGATATTTTTTTTGCACAAACCGTCTCACCGTCAGACTCGTCGCACCGTCAAACCGTCAGCACCGTCAAACCGTCAGCCTCGTCGCACCGTCAAACTAGTCAAACCGTCGCACCTTATCGAATTTCGCAAATTTAACAATTGTAAATTGTAAACATATTGATTATCACCCCGATGAACAAGTATCATAGATTGAAACTAATCCTAGATCTCCAAATTTAACATCTTTTGTTTTCTTGACAATGCATGTTCTCTTATATGAAACTTTAAAGTTCTAGTAGAGTTTGTGTAACACATTGTCTTAGGGTAAAAGATATTGTTTTTTCAGATGAATTACGATTAATAAAAACATGTTAAATATGTTATAATAACTCATATACACCACATTGAATATTCAAAACATTATTTAGCAATACTTTTTTTTTATAATATACGTTCTTTCAACTAAATCATAAAATTTTATTACAAAATATAAATTTGGAATGTATTAATACAATATCTTTATTATATCATTACAGGAATGCAAAATTTTACTCATATTCCTAGGATATTATTTTCACTACCCATTTATGACAAGACTCGTAATAAATAATTATCATTCTTTTTATCATATGTATTCATTATGTTTGCATAAAATAAACACATAATATGAGTAATATGATCAGTTTAAAGAGTAAGACCAGATTGATGAGTATGACTATTTTGATGAGCTTTGCGAGTTTGTCCAGTTTGGAGAATTTACTCGATTTGATCCGTTTGACTCATCCATATCATATAGTTCAAATATAAATTCAAAAACAACAAAAATTATAAATGTCCAAAATGAATAACATATTTTAAAATGATAAATTATCTATCAGCAAGATTTTTGTTTATTGAATGAAATTTTTTTAGATTTTGCATTTAACAGTAAATTAATCAAGAAATTATGATACAGAAGAGAAATTTGAGGAGAGACCGAAGAGAGAGAAGAGAGAGAGAAGAGGAGGGGGAGAGAGAGAGCGCAAGAAAGGAGAGAGAGGTGGAGAGAGAAGAAAGCGGGAGAGAGAGGTGGAGAGAGAAGAGAGAAATATAAAAGAAATTATTTTTATTTTATTATATTATATAAATTAATAAAGAGTATTATAGGAAAACTACATTTATAAGGTTATATTTGATGTTGTCTTTTTTCTTTTTTTTATGAAGGGTATCACTTAAAATCCAATGTATCATTTAAGGGTATTTTTGCAATTGACCCGAGAGAGAACAAGCAGGAGAGGTGAGAGAGCATGGGAGAGTCGAGAGAGAGAGAGAGAGTGAGGAAAAAGAAATAGAACAAATTATTTTTATATTAATATATTGTATGAATAATTGAACGGTATTATAAAAAATCTATATTTGTAAAGGTATATGTGGTGTTGTTTTTTTTAGAAAGAGGATATCACATGAATCAAAATGTATGATTTAAAGCTTTAAGCGTAGTTTTGCAATTGCACTTTTGAAACGGCGTCGTTTTGCAATCTTCCAAATTAATGGCGGCAACACCAACTTCCTTTTCTTTTGGGGGTGTTCATAAAAATTTAGGTTCGGGAGGAATCTATTGCTCGTTGCAGAGGGATTTACGATGGACATCAACCGAGACGAACTCGATTTGCTACTGTCACTTGAAGATCGGGTTCTCGAAACTCCCCCCGATTCTCCTTCTGCCGCTCTTGGTGATCCTTCTTCTACAAATTGCTTGCCTTTAGGGTTTTTTGTATTTCAATGGATAGTCTTTGGTGCAATCGCTTACGAATCAGATGCTTTTAATTGCATTGATGCATAAAAAATCGATGTGGGTGCCTATTTTCTCATCTTGTTCGGAGTTTGATTTTGCGAGTCAATAAGGGGTTTTGCTCTTGGTTACATCGGCATGTGATTTACGACTCTCCTCAAATGCTAATCCTTTTCTTCGTATCTTCGTCCGAGTTTAGCTGGCAGGACTTCACCTCATCATACACTTTAATCATAGTAATGGCTTGATTGTGGCTTTTTCTTCATCTTCATCTCGTATTTTTGTTTTCCCAGTTCATATGCGGTGACGTCTTTCTTACATTGATCTATCGAGGATTTTTAAAGTTTTCCCCTTTATTCCCATGAATTACATGGATTTATCTTATTTGGTTTGTTGCTCATTTTCACACGTTCTGTAGGAGGATATCTCACAGATGACGAATCTCCTAAGCGTAGGGCTCCTGTTGACTTGTCTGATTTCAAAAGTGTTGTTCAAGATTGCCTCAGTCTGGAGACTAAACCTGCCAACAAGACCGGCAAACCAAAGGGCTTGAAGAACTGCAATCTTAACGATGTTGAGAAGTTTTCTGGTCTGCGCATAAGGTGGTGGTGATCTTGTTTCTTTTAAGAGTCTTGTCTACATTTCATGATTCAACTTATTACCCGGAAATCAAAATTTCGTAGAAATATGAATACCAATACCTCTCATGAGGAGCCATCTGGGTTTCAGAGGCAAACATTGTTCTTTTTCTTTCACCATTTGTCCTTCAGGTTTCATATTCTAAGTTTATTAATATTTTCTTTTCTTTTTGATCTCTCTTAGGAACCAACTACTGAGCCCTGCGGAGATTAGTGATAGGTTTTCAGAAATTCGTTTTGTTCGATTACCAACTATAAAGTAAGTAGGCTCACTGCCCAAATATGCACACTTTTGGAGCCAAGCTCAAGAAGAAGAATTCTTAACTGCGCAGTTTCCCGTTTACTTGGTTGTTCTTGTAGGAATTTACTGGTGGGTGACAGACTCTCTGGATGTTGGGCAACAATTGGAGTGCTAACGGAGAAAGGACTCCCGAAAACCAGCTCCATAGGGCAGCCTTATTGCGTGTGGAAGCTCAGTTGCTTAAATGTAGAACCTGTCTCGTTATTCTTGTTCGGCGATGCTTATCTGAAGAATTGCAAAGAAAAGGCAGGAACGGTTTTGGGGCTGTTCAACTGTTCTGTGCGCAAGGACAACATGGTAAGCATCTCAGCAGCAATAAATGGCATGGTGGCTACGAAATTCTGTCAGATACTAAAATTCCTTTCTCCACCTGTTTGTGGCAGGGACACGGGTTCTCATTGAGTGTCAGCTCTGCTGGACAAATCGTTAAAATAGGAGCTTCTGCTGATTATGGGGTCTGCAATGGAAAGAAGAAAGATGGGATTCATTGTACATCTGTGATAAACAAGTAACTAACTTTTGCCTTGCATATAGCTTTGGTTTATGGTACAGCTATTAAAGTATTAAATTAGAACATTGCAATGTTTCAGACGCCAGGGAGCATTTTGCAAGTTTCATAAACTGGTACGTAGTGATAATACCATGAACTCGTTTGCAGGTGCAGCTGAAATGAGTTCTGCTTTCACTAAAAATGGGTTTTAATCTGTGATTTTGTACAGAATGCGTCAGACACATTTGCTACTAAGAGAACAGAACTGAAAGGAGGGTATGTCTCCAGTGCCTGGTGAATCACTAGAAAATTTGCTGAAACTTGTCCTCAAATTTGCCTGAGTCCCCTGACGTTTTCTTTTTTAAATTCAGGAACTTGAGGACGGCATTCAGAGGCATAAGGGCAGAAGGTGTTTACACGGTTGATCCCGTAGCAGACAAGAAGGGAAATCAGCCTGCACGAGTACTCACCGTGGAAGCTCTCAAAAAAGCTTTAAGGTTTGAAGGCCTCTAGTTTTTTTTGTTAGGGGGGTGATAGTCTCTGCGTAATCTTAAACAGGTTGTTTTTGTGCATTGGAACTGCCTGCAGTAGAGCAGAGAAAGTGACAACCGTCGGGCATTCACAAGGAATACGTTTCCTCAACGAAATGGCCAGTAGGACTCTTTCTTTCTTAATCCATACGCATGACTTGAGATAGTGTCTTGAGAGTTTTATGTGGCGTGAATTAACAGGAATATCAGGTTCGAATCAGCGGACAGGGAAGAAGAGGTATGTGCCTGAGCTTGTTGGTTGGTCCATTGGTCATGCAAATGTTACTTGTGACCGAGTGAGATGTCGTGGCTCTTCTCCAGGAAATCATCACCGGAGCTGAAGAGGAAGAGAGCAGAAGACGGCAGTGACTCGCCGCCGGAGAAACGTAGTGGGAAAATGATAGCCTTAGATATCTGCAGCTCCGACGAAGAAGAAGGATGAGCCTTCAACCTCAGAACACCAGTGATGGCTCTGTGTTTCTTGTAAAATTAATTTGAAACTCGTTAAATAGAGTGAGTGCAAGAAGGGCTACTACAAGTACAAGCACACAACAGTCTTTACCAATACACAAAACTCGATTATCAGACAAAGCCTAACACACACATCACATGACGAGGCAGGCGGTGGGATTCTCGTCGCTGAAGGCGGTGGTGTAACGGACCTCAGTGGAGCTGGCACGGGCTAGCTGCGACACTCCTGGGTCATCGCCCCTCCTCACGTACCCAGCTGGCGCCTTCTTGTCGTATATGCCTGGCGCGTAAGGATGGGCCACCACGTCATACGGGACGTACGGCCAGAGCTCCACCTTCTTGCCGGTGCGGTGGGCCATTCGAGCCACCACCTTGTTGGGGTCGACGTAGCCTACGACCGTCACCTTGTTGGCTTTAGGCTCCACCGTCACGGACGACACCCCCTTCATTCCCTCCACCGACCTCCTCACCTTCCTCTCGCACCCTTCGCAGTCTATCTTCACTTTGATCTCCACAGTCTATTATTAGTTGCCGACCAAAATGAAATCCGATACTAATTAGTGGGCCGTTGCACGTGATCTCCCCGTAAATCACGATGATTAGGATTTTTAAATTTCCGACAGTGGCTACTACGGATCTACACATTATGGCTGCAACCGATTCAAACGCTACTTGTCGGGGTTCCCATTCCTTGGTCTTCACTCTTAACAAAAGTTTTTTTTTTTGGTTGATAGTTAGTAGCTTTTTTTGGACCTAAATGATAAACTGGAAAGGAAACATACTATGGACAGGGAGCGTCGTCAGTCACTCGGTTCATGAATATCTTTCCATATAAACCACTCAGAGTGAGAAAATCAATTGCAGGGGTTACCTGTAACTGCTTGCGCTTCTTCATCTTGGAGCTTCCATGAGAGCAATCAAACACATCGGAAAGATGATCGAGAACGCCCATCTCTTTCTTTCCTGCAACAGCCTCTCTGATCTTCACGACACCTAATGCTCTCTCTCTCTCTCTCTCTCTCTCTCTGTTTGCTCCTTCCCAGTGGAATGAATGACAGGTCTCACCCTTCCGGTCCCATCTCTTTTATTTTGTGGCCTCCTTTCTTTTTTTTTTCTTCCTTTCCGATAGCTTTTCCTCTCTCTCTATCTCCACTTAAACCCGATTTTACTTGTTTATGTTTAAAAAAAAATAATCCTTTGTCTTCCTAAATATTTTTTGCATAAATAAATAAACAGGACAGAGATCTTGGGACAAGCGTCTTCCTTTTTCTTCTTTATTATTATTATGATGAAAAAAATACAATTGTCTGGGAAACCGAGTTAGCGGATAAATGGCTCACAAAAGTCACACCGACATAGACTATGTCGGACTGTCGATATCGATAGGATCTTGACAGATATATGGTTGGGCCTGGGAGGCCCAACTTCTACTTCTCTTGGGCTATTCCAATTTTGCATATCTCCGACTTTCTTTTTTAATTTTTTAAGCTCATTGTTAGTTTAAAACGTTTCCTATAATCTTTCTTCCACTGACGCGAATCCGATCCGATTTGTTTTTTTTTTTCTTCTAGATCTAGTAACTGCGGTCTCCCTCCAACTCTGATTAGTTCCAGGAATTGATTAGTCTCGATTTCTCTGCTCTTCATCCCGTGTACTAGTTTCTTCGATTGAGTGATCTTTTCCCCTTTCTCCGGTGAAGTCTCTGATGCTAAGGCGAAACCGAGACCAGCGAAGTTGTCTCTCTACCTTCACATTCCCAATATCGTTGGTGGGTTTTGGTGTGATTGTTGTTTTTTGTTGGTAATCGTTTTTTACCAAAAGATTTGATGTTATTGCTACATGCAAATTGCAGGGTGCATGAGAGTTCTCTCGAACTGTGTTGCCTTTTCCATGTGCTTTTCGGACAAGACGCTTTTCTCGCTGCTATGTTTCTTCAGGTGAGAGTTCTGTGATCTGATCATCTTCAAAATAGCATCTTTTGCTAGCTTAGAGGCAGTGTCTTCTCCACAATCGTATTGGTTAAGATGTTTACAGAGTTAGCACAGCCTGTCTACTTGTGGTTCTCTCCCAGGTTTACAGGTCTATTAAACACGCCTAGCTTGGCTTTCCTCTCATTGCTGTCTGCAGATGTACAGGTGCTTGTTTTCATGGTTAATATTCTCTCTTATCATGCGCTAAACGCTTCTTTAAACTTCTCAAGATTGTTGTACTTTGGTACGTAAAATTTTGTACTCTATGCTCAGGACATTTCTGTCAGGGAAGACCAGTCGTAAGGACGTCAAAGACAGCACGAGCTGGCTTTTTAAACTCTACTATGGGAGAATCGGTTGTTTTATGGGTTATTGTTGCATCTCTTGTAAGGTAATTCCAGTTGTCCTGAGCTAACTCGTCCATGTAATCGTTAGAAATGTCTTCACTCAATCTTCTTGCACTGTGCAGGTTCTTCATGTAATCCTTCTTCTCATATCAAAGAACCAAACCGAAAACCTGATGATCTCCTTTTTCTTTAGGGATTGTCCACTGATTGACCATATGTGTGACTTTCATCTCGGGCTCTAAATTGCACGTTCATTCAGGTCTTAGTTACTTCACTGATCCAGATTTCGCCACTCTCTGTTCTTCTGGCTTTGAGCTTGTTCGGTTGGGCAATCAAGCAGACGTCAATGTCATTCGGGTAGGTTAACTAGTGTCAATCCACCAGTTGTTCCAGATATAGAAGGCTGCATAGTGTATCTGAGGTTTTGCTATGGCGGGTTTCAGATGAAAACAGCTGCGGACATTTGCGGTTATTCATGGTATCGAGAAGAAGCAGAAGCCCTGATATTAACAAGCTCACTTGTCTGAACCCTGAAAGTTTTTTTGTGTGCAACGCCTACGTTGTGCTTGAGTACATATACGGCCGGGTCTCCTTTTGACCTGTCCTGGGTGTATAGATAAACCTTGCCTTTTGTTTCCTTTGACGATGGAGTTATTGGTAGTCTCTTCTTTCATCTGGTAGTGTTGGTATAATTTGGTTTGTAAGCCTGAACTGATTTACAACTTAGGCATGTCGCATTCCATCCTCTTGCAAGAATGATTGTGGCGAGAGATAGAGGCTTTACCACATGGCTCCATGGCCAAATGCCACGTCAGCGTTATCTCGTTTGGAAACGTATGGTTCAAACTCGGGGGGAACAAAACTCCAAGCACTTGTCACCCATGACCACCCAATCAACCGCATATTCACTATCCTCAAACCTCAAACACTGTCTCTCGCATCACGCAAAACTGACCGTCGGATCTTCCGACCACAGATTCCTGCTGGTGTTGCGGTGCACCCAAGCACAACGTATAACTGCCCCAAAACTGGGATTTAAAGAAGGCTCTGCTTCTGACCATTGCTTCTTGTTCTGTCAAAGTAACAAAGCCCTGCAATGGCGAAACCGATGGCCATCGAAGTGTACAACCCCAATGGCAAGTACAGAGTCATCAGCACGAAACCCATGCCGGGCACTCGCTGGATCAATCTCTTGATCGAGCAAGACTGTCGCCTCGAGGTGATTTTATTTGATGTTTCTCTTGGAGATGAAATACAGTGGTCACCCACAGTTTTCCATTCCACGCAGATATGCCATCAAAAGAAGACGATCTTGTCCGTTGAGGATATCGTGTCCCTGATCGGAAACAAGTGTGATGGTGTCATCGGACAGGTATTGAACTCTGTTGAGTTGAGTCAAGGAGGAATATTGTATTCGTTTCATAACACTAATCAAGAGACCAAAATGTAAATTTTGGTGTCTTTGCATTGTTCTCCTTTCTCAGTTAACGGAAGATTGGGGGGAGACTCTGTTTGCCGCTCTGAGCGGAGCTGGAGGGAAGGCTTTCAGTAATATGGCCGTCGGTTATAACAACGTCGACGTAGATGCTGCCAACAAGTACGGAATCGCTGTCGGTAACACTCCGGTAATAAAAATCTCACCTTTAATGGCTAAGTCGCTTCTTTGGTTTGTAAGTGGATCGGTTCGTTTATATGAATCTTGCTTTGCTGTCACAAAGGGGGTGCTGACAGAAACCACGGCCGAGCTTGCGGCTTCGCTCTCTCTGGCCGCCGCAAGAAGAATAGTGGAAGCTGATGAGTTCATGAGGGCCGGGTTATACGATGGAACGATGGATGGCTCCCCCATCTGTAAGATTACTGTCTCTGCATGGGAAATATTGTCTATTTCTCTTTTCCTTTCAGTTGTATCTCATGTGATTTTAGTTTTTATGTTCTCATTGCTTGGTTGGCAGGTTCGTGGGGAACTTGCTTAAAGGACAGACTGTTGGAGTGATTGGAGCTGGCCGTATCGGATCTGCTTATGCCAGAATGATGGTACACCTTTCATAATGCTAAGTCTTCTGTTTTCTGCCTTTGGATTTACCGTTGGAAGTATTCGGGTTTGAAATTCTGGGACTGGTCATTTGGAGTCTGGTTTTATCTTGTGCTTGAAATCAGGTCGAAGGGTTCAAAATGAATTTGATTTACTACGATCTCTACCAAGCCACTCGTCTAGAGAAGTTTGTGACCGGTAAAGTTTCTATATATACCTGTGCAGTTTTTTGAATGAATACATGTATTTTAAAAGAGAAATAGATGGAGCTGATTTCAATTTCGCATGCAGCGTACGGAGAATTCTTGAAAGCAAACGGGGAACAAGCAGTGACATGGAAACGAGCATCATCCATGGAGGAGGTCCTGCAGGAAGCTGATGTGGTATGTGAATGGCGGTGCCTCTCGTTGTTGTTTTCGTTTGATTTTGTTTGGAAGTGCTTAGTATGATTGTATGGAGCAGATAAGCCTGCACCCAGTGCTGGACAAAACCACATACCATCTTGTCAACAAGGAGAGGCTTGCCTTGATGAAAAAGGTGATTTGGTGTTTTCATCTCAAACAAAAAGTTATTTTCATTTTTCTAAGGAGTTTGGTTATGGTCCATAGGAAGCAATCCTTGTGAACTGCAGCAGAGGGCCTGTGATCGATGAAGCAGCTCTTGTTGAACACCTTAAACAAAACTCAATGTTCCGAGTTGGTCTTGACGTGTTCGAGGTAATGTATGCTTGGATAAAACTGAACCGAAATGATTAGGGGGGGTAAGTAAAAGTAGAGGTATGTGGTTACAGGAAGAGCCATTCATGAAACCAGGGCTGGCTGACATGAAGAACGCCATCGTCGTTCCTCACATTGCTTCTGCATCAAAGGTCACATTTTTTCCAACACTGACAAATGGAATGTCTCTTCCAAAAAAAGGCTAAAAAAACGGTTTTTTTGGATTGGTGTGTGTATTGGAGACAGTGGACACGCGAAGGAATGGCTACGCTGGCTGCTCTCAACGTCCTGGTAATGCCATTCAAAGTCCCATATTTGTTGTGGAATTTATACAGATGTTTGTTTAGGTAACTAAAATCGGAAAATGAAAACAGGGAGGGATAAAAGGGTATCCGATATGGGGAGATCCGAACAGAGCGGATCCCTTCTTGAACGAAAACGACGCGCCTCCTCCAGCCTGCCCCAGCATTGTTAACTCTAAAGCCTTGGGACTTTCCAGTTGCTAAGCTCTGATGAAAAAGCACGCGGGATGCTTGAGTTTTTTACTTTCCACATGTCACTTTATACAGTTTCTTTGTTTGTTTAACGTAAGATCAGATGCTCGCATGACCGGATGCTACCATATCACAAAACAAAAAGAAGAGGCCCCAAGTTTCCTTCTTGGAGTTTGCTATGAACCGGCTGCCAGAGGAGTTCGAAGTTATTTTCTGGTGGTTGGGGGTTGGAAGGATTCGGCAAACTGTGCGGAAAGGTCCATCGACTGTGGCTGGTTTATTCTTCTCCCCAGATCCTATGAAAGCAATTGAAAATTCTAAACAATGGAGCTAAGCACAGGACAGGACACATGCGTGAAGGGACAGAAACCTCGGGGAAGATCAAACCCAGCTGAGCTGACTAATTGAACAGAACCCCAAAAGTAGAAACACGTGCATTTGAGTAACGGAAGTGGAACTGGAAAGAACACACTCAGATGCTTCCTCTCTGCTTCTCCCATGACAATAACAATTAACACATCCAACCCCGTTAAATTAATTCTGCTTCTTCTTGGGAGGCGACAACTCACAATTGGCGGCGGGCTACAACTCTTGAAACTTTTGTGCGTGTGTTTTCCCCTTTTGAATATGAAATCTCCAACCCTTCGTCTGCTAAACGCCGACCAAGACAGCCTCACCGTCGAACTTGTCAACCTTGGTCCGGCACAAGTCAAGATTCTTGTTCAATCTCCGACCCTTCATCTCCAGCTGTCCGAGCCGCGCCGCAGTAGCCGTCACCTTTTCCCGGCATCTCCCTCCACCCAGCCGTCAGATCCCTGTCGCATGCCTCTTTCTCCGTCTTCGCCGTCTCGTGCTGCCCGAAGCACTCCACCGCCTCCGTCAGCTCCTCCACGGAGATCTTGAGCCAAGAGACGTCGATTCTGACGGACTCCATGTCCTTCACCACCGCTGCGATCTCCGACACGCGCGTTGTGGTTAGCTCCCCCAACGACGTCGTTTTCAGCTCCAGCACAGTCGCGGCCAGCGACTCCAGGTAGTAAGACCTAGTGCAGGTCGATTGGAGCTTGGAGGCCGCGGCGATGTCACCGTACTTGTCAAGGATCGAGCGGAGCGTGGCGGACACGCTCGATCTCACTCTGTAATTTGCGACGGAGACGTAGGACTCGGAGATCACGGACTGGATGTCTTCCTTGGGGGGATCATAGTTCTTGAGACCGCGCATTTTGGCGATTTCGTAGAGAGAGAAGCTCTGGGAGTCGTCCGGAAGCTCCGGTGGCTCGAACTGCTTGTCGCGGACGTCGTAGGTTTCCAGGGCGATATGAGACTGGTAGTGAACCGGCTGCAAATGTTACATTATCAGGCACTCATGGTCATGGTTTTCCAAGAAAGTGTTGGTTGATGTGTGCATACCGTGCTGCTTGCAGAGTTTAGGGCAGAAGAGATTTCCGGATAAAGGTAAGCGGATTGGTCGTCGTCGCTGGAGGAGAAGTAGGGATGAACTGGACTGGGAGGCGCACTGTTGCGCGGCATTACATTGGCCTCCACTTCAACGTTTTCCTTACCACGCCGATCAGGCTGCGTAAGAAGAGGATCAATTATTATGACAGCAGGTAGGGGATGAACATATATAAGATGGATTGAAAAGTGTACCGAGTAGTAGCCATAGACGGGAGGTATGTGATGAGAGTTGGGGAGGCGTTCGGAGGCCGGTGGCTTGCGGCTGGCGGCCGGGAATGCGTACTCTGATTCAGCCCTTTTGTCGGATAAATAGTAGGGAGGAGGAGACCTACTTCCACCCAACCCATGTGAAGGGCTCTTGCTGGCACTCTTCTTCCCGAATAGTCCTGCCATTTGCCAACATGATACAGTTAGATTCATCGTACCCTCTCTGCACAAAGTTCCAACCATGTTTTGTACCTCTTGTCTTTCCCTTGCTTGATCCGAAGAAATCCATTTCGAGTGTACTGTGAAAACAAAAGGGATTATTATTTCAATGTTAGTTTTGGAGGGAGCCGGCAAAGATGAGATGAGACGAGAGGATACGTTCTCGCCTCTCCTTTCATATATACATGTATTTTGCGCGTTGATATGTATATAAAATGCACACTGCGGGGCAGAATACGTCTCTGACCAATAATAAATTATTATTGAGATTTCAATATGGTTAGGTCCAAAATCAAAGGGTAGTGGCAACAAAATTGACTTGGTCACGGTCAGTGGCGGCTACCCTTCTTTGTTAAACATGATATATGGATTGATTTTCGAGCAAATAATAGAAAAGATATTTTTTATTAATTATTGTGGAATGGGCTTTCAATTGGGCCAGTGAGTAGGCAAGATGTTTATCAATGGGCTGAGCTCCAACATCTCTCTTCGACGAGTACCCCCGTCTCCCCGGGGAAGATGATCGTCTCCGTCGGGGATTATTACTCAAATAGCCCAGATATGTCACAAGAATTTCTTCTGTACACAACCAAAAAATGCTTGAAAAAACATTACAGTTTGTACCCTACTTTTTATGACAAAAGACCTAAATACCCATTTAATGAAACGATTCGTTTTGATTGAAAAAGAAATGAAACGTGTTTTCGCTTGAAAATCTGATATTAAAAACGTGTGAATATTAAATATTCAGACAAATTAAATGTGCTTCTCTCTCATCTCTCTCCCTGTGATCATCCCGATCGTGCGCATTTCTGTCCGCCATTGAAGCTCTGTCGGAGCTTTAAATCAAGCTTATGATCAGTTTTTTTTTGTGCTTTCGAAACTAATCTCCTATACAGGTATAATGGGAATAAAACCCAAACATTTTAGTTTATTATTGTGCCTTAAATTCTGTTCTAGGGTTTCATTTAAATGTCTGAAATTTTTGGGTTGTTGATGAGAATGACAAATTTCGGTTCATTTGACAGGATTATGGATGGTTTTGAAGATTGTTATACATGTATTTGTATTCGGTATGGTGGTTTTTGGGGAAAAAATGATGATGGATTGTTTGAATGGAAGGGAAGTGATGATTGTTCGAAGACAATATGCATTTTTAACAAAGCAAGCGAAGTAACACACGAGGAACTTGTCGGAACTGTCTGTGCCCAGCTAACCGTTGATTTAGGAAAGACGAAACTGAGTTTTGTTCCAATTGTAATGGATGGAAACCGTCCGGAATATATAGTCGATGACATGGGAGTGAAATCTTTCCTATTTAGCAAAATTAATGGACGGCGAGGATGGTTATACGTAGAGCGAAAGGATGATGATGGAGTTGAGCTAGAAACGTGTGTTTGTGAAGTTGAGTTAGCGGTTGATGTAAATGGAGAAAAAGGAAAAGAGATTGTTGATGGTAATGGTTTAGTTGTGGATTTTGTGGTAGGAGAACAAGATGAGGAAGAAAGAGAACACAATGATGTGGAAATGGGTGTTGATTATGATGTGGTTGAGCAAGAGACTTTGCATGATCGTATACGACACGAGAATGAAGTGGTTGTTACGACCGACAATGCTAGAGTTGAAAACACGACAGAGGTAGCTACTGAAGTTGCAACGGAGTTAGGGAATGCAGTTACAATACAGTTAGGTACTGAAGTTGCAATAGAGTTAGGTACTGCAGTTTGCAGATGATGGTGGAAGACGTGTAAGTGGAACCGAATGTTTCTCGTTTGAAGACAGAATGGGTTTTACGGTAGGAAAGGAATTTGACAGTAAGAAAGAGCTAAAGATGAAGGTAATGAAAGCTTCACATGATGCATGTTTTGAATATTATGTATACAAGTCCGAATCACAGATATGGGAAGCAAGATATCGATTCCGAAGACAAGGTTGTATGTGGAAAGTTCGAGCAGTGGTTAAAAAGAAAACTGAGTGTTTTAGAGTGATGAAGCACGTGAATGTCCATACATGTACACCGTTGTTACAACCACAAGAGAGAGAAGGGAAAACAACATGGAGAGGAAGAAGACAAGCTCAAAATGCTGTTTGGGGGAATCCGGTGGAAAACTATAATAGGCTTCCGAGTTATTTCCATATGTTGAAGGAAAAAAACGAGGGTACGATAACAGAGATACAATTTGAAGAAGATGGACAAACTTTTAAGTATGCATTTCTTGCTTTGGGTGCTTGCATCAAAGAGTGATGTGCAATGCGTAAAGTGATTGCCATAGACGCAACATCTCTAAAAACGTCATATAAAGGCTTCTTGATTGTCGCAACAGCTCAAGACGGTAACCGACATTTATATCCACTAGCTTGGGGCATAGTTGATACAGAAAATGATGCTTCTTGGAATTGGTTTATGAGGAAATTGGCAGGAGTGATTCCTGATAGCGATGATATGGTTTTGATTTCGGATCGACATCAAAGCATCGCAAATGCTATTCGTGATGTGTATAGGAGAGCTAAACATGCATTTTGTGCATATTACATTTCACAAAATATCAAGACGTTAGTCAACAAAGGAGTACAGGGGAAAAAAAACAAAAACGGAGAAAGTGTTGCTGGGATGTTCTACAAGTGTGCAGAGTGTTATACCGAGAAAGAGTTTTTAGAACTGTGGGAAGATTTCTGCGAAAGGTTAGACTACATAAATACTGATTTGCGACTATAGTACAACTGTTTCATAGGTTGAGTGAGTTTATGAAATTTTCTTTGTACATGTTTCCGAAGGTTGCTGAATATTTGAACAGGAGTGTTGAACCTGTTAAATGGGCAAGGTGTTACTTCCCTGGTGAAAGATATAACCTATTGACAACCAATGGCGCGGAATCGATTAATTCCGTGTTGAAGAAGGCGAGGACATTACCTTTGCTTGGTTTGCTTGATGTGATAGTGGACAAAACAATTGAATGGTGGTGTAAACACAGGGCCTGTGCATTTTCAAGTACACAGGAATTGACGCCTGAAGTTCATAAGGAGTTACATAGGTGGTATAGAACGTCCAAAGCGTTTAGTATACGAGAGATAAACCGCAATTGGAAAGAATACGAAGTGACGGAGGACAATGGGAAAACGTATTTCGTTGATCTTGGAAAGAAGTGTTGCGATTGCAAAGTGTGGGATGTTGATAAATATCCTTGTTCTCATGCGATAAAAGCTTTGCATGAGCACGGTGACAAAGAAAAGTTACTTGAGTATTGTTCATCGTACTATACGAGGGCCACATGGGAATTGGCATATGTTGATAGTGTGTACCCAGTTTCTGATATTTCTCATTGGGAAATTCCTGATCATATAGCGGAGTTGAAAGTCGATCCTCCTGCTATAAGAGACCGACGTGTTGGACGCCCGATGACGAATCGTATAAAGAGTGCGGGGGAAAAACGAATAAAGAAGAGAAAATCGAGATTGAAGGTAGGTGATTCGGAGGAGGAGAATGAAGCACATTCAAAGAGGATGAAGACTAAAGCCTACGAAGTCCGGGTGCAGTTACGGGATGAAATGTAAACCATGTTTATATATTTCATCTTTTAACTGGACGACTTTTTTGGAACTATTTTGTCGCTACTATATTGCCACTTTTTGTAATATGTATGTTTGGCAAGAGGGAAAAGTCAATGGAAAACTCTTTAAAAACCGTGAAAATCTGTCTTCGGGGGGCCACAAAAAAAGTCAAAAAGTAGACAATGTGGTCGTTAGATTTTGTCCTATTATAAACCAAAACCAGATAATTGCGACTTGTTTGTAACTCTGTTGCGATTGTTACATACTTTTTGAAAGTGGGTAAAATTGCATAAATTATTACGAATTTCGTTAATGTAGTGATAATTACATCCATGTAGTGATAATTACATCCTAATTAAGGATAAAACATGACATTATGGGGTCACATGACATTATGGGGTCATATTTTATGACAATTTGAAAATTTCATTACTTTCTCTCCAAAGTAAGAGTTACACATTCATATCTACATAGGTTTGCTTTCATATTATATTTGTACAAAATTTCAAAAGTTCTTAAAATATTAAATGGGTGCAATTTAATGATGTTTTTACACGTACTTTTATATTTCTCATTCATCCCTCGACGAATTTTAGACAAATAAACTATTTTTTCAAACTTACGACCAACTGAAGTCGTAACAACGTGGTAATAGAGTCATATATTAGTAGTAAATTGGATGCAACTAAGTCTTAAATAAAAGGTTTTTCGAATGTTTAAAAATTTCATGGGTCCACTTTGTCAGAATTGTGTTACTCGATGTTTTTTCCATCTGTGGGGTCCACTGTGCTGAAATGTTGACTTTTTTCTGAGGTGGGGACCACATCGCAGAAAGTTTTCTGATCTGATGAATTTTTTTTGTCTATGGTTTATACGATTATAAAATTTACATAATATTTTTTGACATTACTTGTTTGTTGCGACTTCTATAGCCCTAACTTACGACTTCTTGCATATTGTTTTTAACAAGGGTTTACTTAGTTTTTTACAAATCCAAACCTATCACAATTCACAAGCAATAAATCTGTTGTGTACAAACAACCATAATCCACAAACTACTCAATTTTTTTTTGTGTATGGTTTATACGATTATAAAATTTACATAATATTTTTTGACATTACTTGTTTGTTGCGACTTCTATAGCCCTAACTTACGACTTCTTGCAGATTGTTTTTAACAAGGGTTTACTTAGTTTTTTATAAATCCAAACCTGTCACAATTCACAGGCAATAAATTTGTTGTGTACAAACAACCATAATCCACAAAATACTCACAAACATAAAAGACCATAATCCACAAGTATAACACAAACATACAAACCACAAACTGAGTTCAAAAGTCTACGAAACAGAGTTCAAGAGTCTAGGTACCAAGGACATAATCGCAGAAAACTGAGTTCATAAAATTGATAGACTTCATTGTATCCGCCCATGGATACGTCTTAATCCAAATCTACCACGACATCTACCTCTATCTATTCTTCCCCTTCCTCGCGATCTAATGATTCCACCCTTCGAATTGATAGACTTCATTGTATCCGCCCATGGACTCGTTGTTTTGGATGATGTTTTTCTGACTCGTAATAACCTGTCAGTTGGTTTGTTCGGCCTCACAATCTCTGCACCTTCTTCCTCGGCCTCCCCTCCATCATCATCTGTTTCAGTCTCTTCTCCCACTCTCTCAGCCTCTAAACCCTCTTCTGCTGCAGCCTCTTCTCCCAGTCTCTCAGCCTCTAAACCCTCTTCTGTTGCAACATCTTTCTCCCCTTCAGCAACAGCCTCTTCTCCCATTTCCTCGACCTCTTCTGTTGCAGCCTCTTGGTGAGTCGCACTGGATCGCCGTCAAGAACATCCTGAAGTACTTGAGAAGGACTAAGGATGTGTTCTTGGTATACGGTGGGTCGGAAGGCGAGCTTGCTGTAAGAGATTACATCGATGCTAGTTTTCAGTCAGACCCGGATGACTATAGATCGCAGTCTGGCTATGTTTTCTGCCAAATGCGAGACTTGAGAAGTTAAATCTTGACGATCGCCTTGATCAGCTTCTTCTTCTTCTTCTTCTTCTTCTTCTTCTTCTTCTTCTTCTTCTTCTTCTTCTTCTTCTTCTTCTTCTTCTTCTTCTTCTTCTTTT